TATTTGTATTTGTATTCAAAGAAATTACTCGCGAAATATTAATACCTCTGTGAAGTTGGCACCTCATGTCTCAAAAAATCTTTTTTTTTTTTCAATTCTGAGTGCACCCCGAAGAGTTTTAGAGTTCCTTATCAATTTTAAAAATAGTTCTGGCGAATTAACCTAAAAAAGTTAAATTTGAAACTTGAGGATGCTAACTTTATAAAATGAAATCTCGAAATCAGCGATAACACTAAAAGTATTGGAAATATTTAATTTTGCCATTAGGATTTCCTTTAGAACTCTTGAGGGACTACCCAGAACTCCCAACAGAACTGCTGGAACTGTTAAAAAATTTTCCCCCTTCGGGACTTAGACATTTTTCGAACCGATTTTGTGAAGTTAGCATCCCCAAGTTTCAAATTTAACTTTTTTAGGTTAATTCGCCAGAACTATTTTTAAAATTGATAAGGAACTCTAGAACTCTTCGGGGTGCATTCAGAACTGAAAAAAAAAGATTTTTTGAGACATGAGATGCCAACTTCGCAGAGGTAATATTAATATATTAAGGAGAAGGAAAGAGAGAGATGATAAGAAAGAAAAGAGAAAGCAAGGATAGAGAGAAGGATTTTATCTTTTAATTTTAGCAAATCTTGGAGATATTTTTTAAAAGGTTTCTTTTCTTTCTGTAACCATTTGTATACGTATTTTTTATTATTAATGGCCTTAATTGTGTTATCATGTATACTATAAATGCGTATTATATTATAAGTGCGAGACCAAAATAATCTGAAATTGGTTTGCGCAAATAGAAATACATCAAATTTTTCTCGACTGTTATAAAATATATTATAACGGAATATCGTGTCCTTGAAACATATATGATTATTCCGATTAGAAGGTTACATATACAGAGGTACAATGTTGAAGCGATGTGGAAGGCAGCAATCAGTGCTACTGAAACTTATTATGCAACCATAACTTTGCTTTTACTGCAACCTTCACCCTAGGTGGTAAGAAAATTACGTCACCGTGCAGCAGAAACCAACATCACGCATGTGTATCTATTTTTTGCATTTAAAGGATATGCATTTTTAAATAAAAATACAATGTTGCACACCTTACATGTATATTATTATTATTACTATTACTTCTCGTATTTTGATACAATAAAAAGGCATAATAAATACGAAAATTTAAACAGATCATTTCGTATATATTTTTTATTAATTTGTAAATTTTTACCAATATAAAAACGAATCTACCAATGAGCAATAAATTTGAAATACATTATACATTTATACATTTTTATAACATGTATAAGATTTGTCCTTGTAACGGAGTTACAATGTTACACAATGGTACGAAATAGAATAAAATTTTTTATAAAATATTCCGTTTCTTTCTCTAGAAAAATAGGTTTGATATTGAATAGTTAATAACACGTTTGTTCCTGTAAGATTTAAATTTTCATAACTTTTAATAGTCTTGTATGTCAATGACATTATTCGGGTTCGATTACACAGCATTTATCAAAGTACGTATAGAAATGGAAGTGTATAATATTTTATTGGAAAAAGTAAAAGTTTGATATTTTATATATGTATATAATTTTATTAATATTTTTTAAATACTTTCTTCTCTCCATCCACTCCGTACTCATAAATATATATGTATATGTAATATTATACGTGTCACACGAGTGTGCGACATTATTCTGTTAGATATTTTTGTTAATATACATAAGCCTTTGTATCTATTATTTTAATTATTTTCATTCGCAAATATATTCCCTTTAAAGGAGATTTTTGAAAACTAATAGTTCTGAAGATCGTTAGGTTGGGTTAGAAAACCGGTTGCTTAAGGTGTAATCTTTTATACTAAATTATAGAAAGGTTTATAACGAATTTATTTAGTCTTGCCAAAGAGTTAAACAAAATAGTAAACGTTTCAAATATCAAATTATACAGTTATCAATATTAACCTTGATTTAAATACCAAATAAGATAATCTAACATAAAGTATTTTAAGTAGTACGCGATTTCAGCAAATTCTCTGCATATATGTGTGAGATCTGCTTATAAAATCTATATATTTTTATTAAATTATCCTGACGAATCATAAGATGACTGATTCGAGTACTCGTCTTATTAGTTGGTCAGCCATATTGGAAACAGTAGGTGGGTGAAGGTTGTAGTAAAAGTGGTGATTACGGTTACAAGAGAAGGGCAGATAGACAGTTCAGCGATCGATTTTACTTGTCAATTTAAAAAAAAACAGATCAAATTCTTCTTCCTTTCTCGCTCTATATCGGTAAACGTTTAAATATGTATTAACGACAGCTAACGACAGTTCACGAGTGAGTAATTTCACCCACGTAACTAATATTCATTTTCTTATAGAAATGAAGATATTTCATTAAATAATAATTTTTGAATCTTACACATCCAGTCATTTGTGTCCATTTAAAGATTACATAAGCATTGGTGTCATATTCTTTTCAGATTACTGCAGCTGTGTTTGTTATCTTTAAATAATTATTTATAAAATCAAACAGTGTAATTATGATTGTAATGTATCTTATACATATAAGTCACACGTTTATGGATTTAGTTATATAATGCATGCAAATTATGGACAATTATAAAAAAAGCAGATATTTATAAGAATCTCCACAGAGAAATACTGAAAAAAAAACTGATCTATTCTTGTAGATACTAAAGTAAGACATGTGCATTCGTTCTCACATGATTTTTTTTATCCTTATGCCGTCAATCTTGGTCAGCGATCGAGCCGATTAATAAGAGATTTATGAAAGCTGTGATACTGCTATTGTGAAATCACGTGTATCTAAAGCACATCGATACACAGAAATTGTATGTTCTCGTCGCGTTTCTGCGAGGGAAAGGTCGGATCCAAAAATATTCTGAAACTTTTTCTTCTACGTGTACGTGCACCTCGTCGCGTGTTAGTTAATATTTTATTAATTTTGCTAAATGAAATAATGCGCGTGTACAACTTAATCCTCTTCTTTAATTTCTTTCGCATAGCCATTACAGATTATAGCCACCGTTTAATACGACCAGAGGTGATATAAATACATATCGTTTTCTTCTCTAGCGTCTTATCGATATAAATAATCGCGCGCGCGTGTATATTCATTATTTCTGTAAGAAAATGTAAAGTGGCTGCTACGGGTGCGGTGCAAAACGTAAGGATCGATAAGAGAGCGCATGTTATCGATGGCATTACGAAACAGAATGGCCGGACGGCCAGGGTCACGTTAACGGACCTGCGTCCTTCAGTAGCCACGAGATTATTGTGCTAATTCCTAAGTAATTCAGTTTTCTTGATTAGTTTTCCTCAATCTTATTTATTTCGGGAAATAAAATTAATCGCATTTTCATAGAACAACTCAGATTTGACTTGGCATTCGTTTGATTTTTATCAATTAACTCTATTGTTCACTTATTAACTTGATAATTAAAGTTTAACTGACAGTTAACTTTTCTTGTTTATACAATGACAACAGACACGTATAAAATAAACAGATATAAGAAGAAAGATGGTCGGAAGGCAGGAACAGAAAGGGAGAGAAAGAGACAGCAATTTTATAGCAATTGTTTTAAGATAACAGTAGTTTATCTCTTTCCTTCCTCGTTTTACTCTTCCATTCTTCTTTCTTCTCTCTCATAAACAAATATAAATTTTTTTCGTCTTACATGAAAATTACAAAACGCAAAATTATCCCATTGTCCCAAATTTTCTCTCGACTCCTACAGCGTATTCTAAGACAACTATACACGAGTGTGTTACATTATCAGGATAAATTGCGTGCGCACAGCAACATTTTCATTCCATTACATAAGCAACCAAAAGATAAAATGAAGTAATGAGGGAAGATTGTGCAAGAAAAATTATGAATAAGTGGATACGGAAATTAAACTGTAAATATTATTCTGCCTTTGAGAAAAATGAGATTCCGGAAATTGGTTTCCGTCGTAAACTTATCCCGACAGAAATAAACTTGCCGATCTGACTTACAAAGTAGTAATAGTTAAGGTTAAATAAAATTTCTAACTGCAACAGAACTGACCACTAGTTAATTTCTATTTTTTTAATTTATATCTATATAAAATGGTTTTTATCTGTTGTGTGTATATTAAATATGATAATAATTAGTACTGCATTGTTTTGAAAATGTAGTCTCTTTATCTTGTTATTTAAATTGTAGTACATTGTCCCAGAAGGAATAAAAATTCGCAATCGAATCTTGTTAGTAGTTGGTTTACGAACTAACATTCAAGTTATGTTGTTTGACAAAAATCTATCTGCCATAGCCAGCTTAGCATGGTAAGTGAATAATAGCGTTGTTTTAATTTCAACTAATATTTCATTAACAGCACTTTATTAATTTTTATTAATAAGATGCTGATAAGGAAATAAAAGTTAAAATTAAAGAATTAATAATTATGGCTTTCAGGCCATCCATCCGGAAGCCATGAAGACTAATTAATAATTAATTTTTACTGAAAAAGTTAAGCGCTGGAAAATCGGCTAATCACTAACAAAAAAATCTGGACAACAATTTCATACGTAATTTTAATTCGTGACTAAATGCTAATTAGCCATCAGATTTAACTTTTGTTAAGGTTTGTGGAACGATGGCAATGCAATTTGCGTAATTCTCACTTCTTCCATATTTTTCAGTCAGGAAAGTATAAGAGCAAATTAGAGATTGCGGCATTTCTTAAACATAGTTACAAGTTTAAGGTACATTGCTACATCCCCGAGCGTTCCTTGTTCCTTAATGTTGGTACTTTTCATTGTTCATGATCAATTTGTCGTCGCAATCAGAATCTTGCATGTGATCCCGGTGATTTATAAATTAGTCGATAGTAAAACATGACTACGGATTTATTGTGAAACAATTTTTACAGTCTGTAAAAGAATCGAAAACAAAATTAATACATGTATTAATTTTTATTAATACATTTAACGCCATTGCTTACTGTTTCTAGATGGTGACAATAATTTGTCTACGCTGAGATGACGATGAAATACTGAAGAGTTTTCCATTCATGAAAATGAATGAAGAGGGCCGTGCGCGAGGATGAACGCTTGAGCGTAAAAGTTGAAGAGACAGACCTACACAACGAATAGCAAAAGCCTGCCTCGTCCATTGCGACCAGCTACATATCTCACGTTAAGGTATATTCACATTATATATCAACTGTTATTAAAATCATTGTGCACTATCGTAACGTATATAAATTATTACGATAATTTTTATCTTGGGCAGAGACATATGAGACTTTCTCGAGAATAACATCAACTTTACTTTTATTGCTAAATTTAACTAATTTTATAAAATGTGTTAGGAAGTGAAGATTTGTTGACGCATAGAAACCGCTAATGCAATTTCGAATTACCACAAGTATGTCGCAGCACGTTTGTCAATTTAAAATATTGTCCTCTGAAAATACAAGAGATGAAAAGATCTTTGCGCACGCGAAACGCTTAAACTAACGACACTCTGAATTTAAAAAAAAAGATCGAGGCTCTCTTCGCAATGGACATTGTTCGTTTTGAAAAACAAGATTTTGAACACGACACTTATCTATGTTTGTACCAATCGAAATCACGTTTTCTGTCAAGTATTCGTCTTTAGCATCTCTTATACTCGTTCTACTGACATCCTTTTCGTCGGTTTTCATTTCCTCCTAAGTTTATACCGCATCATCCGCGCACAACCTTGCCCCTCACCTATTTCTTACTCTGCTCGTCCTTTCACGATCGCGTGATTCCCTGTGCCGTTTTGCTGATGTACCTCGTGCCACGATGTGATTAAACAGCGAACTCGATTCCTCCCATTCGAGCAGAACCCCCGCGACCCTTAGAGAGACAACTTAACGGTCAAGTTCTTTCCCTGGCGATATTACCCACTTGTGCCATTAAATCTGATTGACTAGAGATCAACTAGAGCAAATCAAATTTCCGCATTACTAAATAACAAGTTAGGAGGGTAAAGGGTGTTTGTCCATTACAGTTCTCGAAGGAAAGCACAAAATATCTTTGGTGTTAGCGCCGCAGCTTTATATTTATTGAATAACATTAATATCAAAGAGGAGTCTCTTGACTCATGACGTTCAAAAATTGTCCTAAAAAATCCCCACCTTAACAATCTTCAAAAATCTTGTAAATGTTTAACAGCTTTGGGAATACACGTGTGTGCACGCGTTTTGTGATGTGTGTGCGTGCGTGTATGTGTGTGTATTGCGTGCGCGCATGCTTGTGTGTTAACTCGACAACCGTAGGGCCGGTTGAGAGATAAAAACTGGACATGGGCTGAGATTTATGAGGCCACAGAAGAGGTAAAGCGTGCGAAAAGCGTGTGAAAACGAGTCGCTTACGGAACAGCATGGATCAGAATGGAACAGGTTAAGCCATGTGACGTACTCTCTATAATGTTCCATGCCGCAACGCTCCGTATTGATCGGACGGCATCAGCTGTACGCTGGTAGCGTTTATACCAGCGTGGACGCCCGCCGGTCTGACTGCCACTGCCCACTCCACTGCTCACGATGTTCCCTTTTCTTTTCTCTTGTACAATGATGTCAATGTGTCACTGTTATAATGTTTCTAACCGACGCGGCGCAGAGAATTTGTTCAATATGTACGGGAGGGTAAAAATATTCTATCCATTTGTAAAACGTACATTCTTCGCGTTCTTTATTTGGTTTTAAGATTGTTTAATAAAAGCTTGTCACAAGCTGACATAAAAATTTGAACGGCATCAAGTGCATGTGTGTCGAAATATTTTTGAATGAAATGTGAAGTGTGTTTTATACACTACTGATCTTTTTTTTGTCTTAAGAGCTTCGTCTTCGTATTTTGATGTGCGGAGCGAATCGAGTTTTGTGAAAAAAGTGCCAGTAAGAAATTAGATACTTTTATCTCGAACCTTTGACAATGACGTCAAAATTGCATAAAAATGCATTCTATAGAAATTTTATATGCATCTTATCAATATCTTATGTGCATTGCTATTTTTTTCTTACTAATACGCTTTTGAATATCTTTACGATTCCAATTTTCTTCACGTTCTGTACGTACATGTACATAAAAATCTTGAACTTGAAAAGTAAAATAAAATTGTGTTTTACAATGGAAAAATGTCTAGTTTGACTGTGCAATAATAAAAATAGATTTTAACATTTATAAAAATTAACTACTTCAGTATAATTTGTAACGCATTTTAATTAAAAAATTTATTTTTAAGACTTCACTGATAACGCGTACAAGATAATTCACATGAACGTACATTACACTTACCTCTTTCGCTCGCTTACTTAACAAAAATAATTATCATATGCCTCCTGAGTATCTTCAGACATTATTTGTAAATTATTACTCGTGTCTTCATCAATCTTTATTATGACTGTCCTTTCAAATCTGGCTGTAATATTACGCATTATCGACGTACGAAAGTTGGTATAAATTATAACGCGTTGTAAGGTACAGTAGACCCGAATAGATGATACCATAATTGCACACTTGACTACACACTTGACTCTACGAATAATGCCTGCTCATCGGTCGCTTTAATATTTAACAATTTCGCACGTACCCCTAAGTATGTCACTTGAGTTTCGGGATGTATACAAGTACGGCTATTATACACCACTCGCGCAATCGGCCGTTGGTATAATTTTCTTATAGCTTCACGCTAGAACGCGTTTTTTTTCGCTATGTCAACATCTATAGCTAATTGTAAGTGATACGGAATTGGCGGCTCTCTTTCCTTTCCCGCATTACAATCCTATTTATAATAAAAAATATATAAGTAGATTTTTATGTGCCGGAATTCGCTTCGATATATAATTGAAGTATAAATTGATCTTCATGACTGATCCTCATTTCAATAATCGCTTCCTGTATCATTTATATATATTATTGCAATATAAATTTATATATTATTATTGCAATATATTATTATTTTTATGTATTTATTATGCATAATATAAATTAGTAAAATTTATTTATATGTAACGAAGAAATGTCAAAAATTGGAGTCTTGTCACAGAGAAAAATTAATGCAACAAGATTTTTACATGATTTTTATTCGACAAAAGATAAAATATATAAATCATGTACACGCATTATTCCGTGTAAACAATTTCCGGACACAGAGTTGCTCAAATCAAATTTACCGATTTGGGAACGTGATAGTTGTGCATAACTACATCGCGCAATTCAAACAGCATAATCAATATTGAATCATGAATTTCGTTCCTAAATACGTTGGTACAGCGATCTGTTTAGGCTAAGGTCTTTCTAATAGAAAACGTCCTCTAAAATCTAACCTAGTCTGTTGAATAATAAATGAACAAATTTAATTGATACATTTAAACCTATAACTTTATATAGCATAATATATACATTATTCAATATAATACATTAACAATTTATTACACGTTTCAAATATGTTTAACTATATCCATTAATACTGCGTTTTAAACTGCGTACAAAAAATATCCTAAACCAATGTTGAAAGAAATACATGGAAAGTGCATTCTCAGCACGGCATTGAATTATACGAAGGCACATTTTACGTCAATTTACGCAAATGAGCAAACCATTCCATTCCAAAGTGAAACGTGAGGCAATCGCGCGCAAACATTACAGCATGTATGAGAGTACGCAATTAAACTGTTGTTCTCTGCTGGTTAAACGCAAGTCCCGTTAATTATCGTTTAGAAAGAGAGTCATAATTAAGCGGAAAGGGTAGAAAAATTTTTCTACGGATTATGAGATCAGAAGATATTTAATATTGGTTCTTGTTAAGAGCAATGCTTATCGGCAGCAAAGTGACTGTCGTCATTTCAAGATTGATTGAACATAAAAAATGCATTTCGTCAATGAATCTCTGTTTGAATTACTAGTACTAAAAAGTACAGGGGACATTGCTATTGTATCGCAATTAATGGTATTACAAACTGGTTAAAGATACAAGGTTTTAGTGAGACATGAGAAGCCTAAGAGGCTGACGTATTCTAAACAATTTCTTTCAAACAGACATTGCGAAATGGCGATATTATACGGTCAAAAATAAAGACGGCCCATTTCAGTTTTGGCCAATGAGCTTTTTCCAAAATGTTACTTTTGTAAAAGAAGGAAGAGAGGAAACACAAATTCGAAAAAAGTGGCTGGCAATTGAGGCACATTTTAACATTAAGATACTATTTTCTTCTGTTTCAGATGACATAGAATGGGTTGGGTGGCGCTAGGGCGGTGTGCGGGTGGTGGCGGCCGCCTCTCGTCCATCCTCTCGCTGTCTCTCACCTCCTTCGCGAGTTCCCTCATCTTCACCTCCCTTTGTATCCTTACACTTGCCTTTACTCTCGTCACCCTCGCTCGTGCCGAAGACATGTACGTATAGCACAGAAAATAATTGCCATATATCAACTGTCTCTTAGCTTCTCGATCATCCTACTATCGCGATACGTTATTTTATCATTCGAAGAAGTGTGGGAGAGAAAAGAAGTACGTGTTAATTATGGACGGTGATGAGTCGAGAAGCTAAATGCGATTGTATTGTCGTAGAACATCCATGTTCCGCTCATCAGAAAGGAAGGAAGACGGTATTGTTGACAACAACTGATGCGCATTCAAATAAATGTTATCAAAAGTTGTCCGAAATTGCGGACAATAGATTCCTGTGAACATAATCTTATTCCTTTATATACAGTGGAATGAAGGAAATAGAACTCTTTTCACCTCTTACAGTTCTTTCATCATAAAAATCGCGTCGCTTTATTAAGTGTAATATTAATTTGAACCCTTCAATTACGATATGCGATCGATATCTAACGTAATATTGTGTTAACATGGTCGGCTCAAGTATACTTCTTCCTTTCTTCGTCTAAAGCGCTTTTATAAACATCTCTAACCGATCACTTGACAAGATCATCTGTTACTTTATTACGCATTTTAGTCCAAGAGAGCGAGATGGAAATTACAATTTTGATAGGACTTTTCTGCATGTAGAAACATGTAATCTAGGATCTTATGGATCGAGAATAGAATGATCAGTATGTTTTACCGACGTTATTAACGCCGGTGATAGAAAGGGTATCGTGTATATCAATATCCCGAATGTTTCGACTGTACTATTGCATTGAATGTATTAGCACAAGTAGACCAATGGTGGAGTTTCTTTGATAGCATCTTATATCGTAATGTGGGTGAAATTAGATGCAGTTTTGTATAGTGCTTTAGAGAGCTGCATCGTTTCTATTGAACTGGTAGATTTCTATGTATATATGTTTCAAGTACAACGTACGTTGTATCTAGAAGACTAAAACGCAACTTTGAACAAAGTTGGCATCGGTCACTCCAAGATGAACGATGCTGTCAATCCCGAGAGGTTGTTTCTCAACTTCTTTAGTGATTTTTAACACGAGTAAATCTCGCAAGATATTATATTGCAATATGTTCTTTCTGTTTCGCCGTGATCGAGTGCGCCGCGCAATGAGTTTCGTGGTATCGAGACAAAGAAGATTATTTGCTGGAAGTTTGCAGAAAAACTATGCACCGCAAACTCGCCCACCGGATATACCTACAATACATTGTGTTGCAGCTTCGAGGAGGGAAAATCGGACAAGGAGATTCTGGACAACCTGCTGCTAGCGACCCGTTACGACAAGCGGCTTCTGCCGCCGGTCCAAGGTACACTGAGGCTCCCATCCCACTGCCAAAATCAAGGCAACTACACCCCTCACCTCTGTATCCAAATGACCCTCGACCATCCAGAGCACCTCGAACATCACCGGCACCGCTACCACCACACAGCACCACACAACCACAGCTCACTGCTCACCCCTCGTCGTAAGAGTACATCTTGTAAATCGACGTATTCTGAAAAATATGACGCGAGGAAAATGCGCAGGAAAAAAGAACGGAGATAAAAGAGGGACGATAGGGCGCGTGATAAAAATTTTACGAGAGCGAGGCGCGACCCGAGCGTATAATTCAACACCTCCCTTCTCCCATTCGAATTCCGCGTTCGTGGAGGAAAAGGTACTTTTCGATATTTAGATATGCTAATCTCGCAAAACGAGTTTCACGTCGGTATTAAATTGATTCAAACTTAACGAAAATTGAGCTCAAAATGCATCTTAATCTATAGCAAGCCTATAAGATTGGAATATGATCGAGTAAGACTGAAGGTACGTCAAACAGTATTTCTAATGCTCTATAGGGTCGGAATGTTATTAACGATTCCACATGGACATATCATAGACGTGGCTGATAGTAACAACTGCATTTACATATATGGAAATGGTGCTGGCACCTAGTTATTAACATCAGAAGTGGCATGTGCATTTAGTGCCATTATAGTATATGAAGCAAGAGTCTAATAATCTGTCCATCATAATATATCTCTGTATAGTCTATTAATCAGACACTAATTTCGATAATTAAGCGAATTAATATAGTAGACTATTTACTGTCAGGAACAAAATAATTTTAGGTACTCACGTATAGAACTATGTATTCTATTTAAATGCATTGATATGACAAAAATGCTTTTTCGATTCGATTCCGATGATTTTGGCGAAATTTGACAACTTAATCTTTAATTGCATTTCTTGAAACAGAAAATAATTCCAGAATACTTAGTTCCAAAATATTTATTTAATTTATGAATTATAAGCATTCGGACCTGTGACAGGAATATGAAGTTTTGCATAGAAATGTGACTGTTATTAAAATTATGCTATAAATTAAAAATTTAAATTTTAATATATAACTTAATCTTACCTAACACAATTTAATTTAATTTTTGTTAATTATGTGAAACATATTTAATCATGAAACATATTAATCATGCAATTCCGAATTCATAATAATATTAAATTAACTAACAAACAAACTTCGCTAATTCTAATTTAAATTGAATTTTGCATACATGTGGGGTAAATATATCGATAAATCTGCTAAACTATTAATTTTTTTGATCGTACCTTAACACTTTTATGCCCAGAATAATAGGATGGAACAAATTGACGTAACAAAACCTACACAGTTGCTTTAAAAAGAAATTGCGTATTTGATAATTTATAGACAATAAAATTGAAATGTCACAAAAAATCACGATACAAGTACGTGAACTATATCGTCGGTTGGAAGAATACTGAATATATCCAAGAAGCAAGAAGCTCCAGCTATACAAAGATTGCATTATTCAGACTTCATCATGAAACGGCTTCATACATGTCATGCGATAACATAGACTGATAACATTACCGATTCTTGTGCGGGATGTCCTCAATCCGCTGAATTCTGTATGTATGATACTGATAGAGTAATTTGTAATGATGCGAACATTTTTAGAGGCGCTTGCGATAACAAAACAGATTATAGACAAAATTATATCAATTTCATCTTATATCTACGAGAGGAAGTCAATAAATAAGTATATACCTCAAGTATATACATATAAATGTATATATCTTTACACTATTTTTCATCATAATCGCCTTCTTCGTTAAGACACTTGTTCAGCCGGCAGATCGATGCATCAAAAGTCTGTCGGTAAAAATTGGAATCCTGCTGGCGTAGCCACTTTTTCACCTGAGACTTGACAACATCATCCGATTAGAATTGCTCGCCACGAAGGTGCCTTTTCAACTGCGGAAACAGGTGAAAATTTCATGACATAGCTCGTGACGCGGTGAATCTCTTGGAAAGTTGGAACTAGGAAATTCTTCAACAGAATCCCAACTTTTACCGACAGCTTTTTGATGCATGGATCTTCCGTCTAGACAAGTCTCAACAGAGAAGGCGACTTGGATGTTGAAAAATAGCGTGTAAAGCGTATACTTTATATACAATATTTAAGATATATGTGTAATTGAGTAAATAGAATTAAAAGAGAACTTATTGACTTTACCCTTGTATAACTTACAACAAAAGAAACAAACAATTTTTCTTTCATAAAAATTCCTGCAGCTGTTGAATTTGTCTCTTGATATTCTACAATATCGAAATTTACCTCTTGATTTGCTACGATGTAAAGAAAAAAAGTCATACCGTTTTATCTAAAGTACTCGAGATAGTTTTGAACATTTTTACGGAGAAGAAAATTTTTTTTATCGTAAATTACAGCTTGCACGAGACAAATAAAGTCTTATCTCTCTTTTCTGAAATTGTTACAAAAGTTTCTAAAATCGCAGCTGACATAATAAACACTCTATTTTTTTACTAATAATAATAAATACCTCAATTGATACGCACAAAAATTGAATTAAGGAAAATTGCACTACATTAAATAGTTTTATGATTATAGAAAATCGGGGGTTTTTTTTAAGAAAAGATGGGATGTGGGCAAGGGTTGTTTGGTGTCATAGAAACATACACTGGAAAACCTACACAACTTCTTATCATTCTTCTAAGAACACTGTTTTCCCATAAACAATATCACACGATTATATCGGCATATCCGTTAAATGTATCACGATATGTTAATTAATAATAAAACAGGAGAAATGGACTAAAAATATACATAACTTTCAAATTAATGAGTTACAACTCACTTCTTCGTTGAATAATTATTTGAAATATAAGCCGTACAGATCAAGAATCTAGTCATAAACGAAAAACAATAAAACACAGAGGACACATATCTTGGATATGCTTAAGCAGTTTTTTTGAAGCCGTATATTGAAATGGAATAGACGAAGAATGCACAAAGTGAGGATAAGACGACGTGCGCAAGGGCTATTGGGTGTTACAGATGCTGATTTCTGCTGCGGAATGAGATGGCCTGGTGACACTACCGGCTTGACAAACCAGTCGTCGATCTCTTCTAACGACGCCAAGAACCAGAACAAGAACCAGAACAATAACCACTACACGTCGCACCAATACCGCACTCACCTTCGCGGTCCGTCCTTTAACATTTATTTCTTGTTACTACACAATATCATCTGTAGAGAAGATTGTCCAATATTATCGTGATATCTTAATCCACTTAAATCATTCTGCGCGACTTATTCAGTATTGGCTCGATGTATCCGATTTAACTACTTGTCTTAACAGAAGTTTATACTCTATTGTTAAATGAATACACAAATTTATATAATTTATTTGGAAGAGACTGTAAGAAATTAATTTTTATTGCGACAGAAGTATATCGCGTTACTATATATTTCTCTATCACGTGTTTATACAAGTTATACGTAATTAAACAAATAAAATAACGTTGATACATTCGCGATAATTGCAATTCGTACAAGCTGAATTTGCTAATAATTGCGCGCAATTAAATTTTGTTAACAATTCGCAAATTAGATAATTTAGGGATCTAAACTTTAGGAGAGAATGATATTTCTAAAATAATAACATTTTTTAAAACTACTTTTCAATTATTAAATTTTTATTATTAATTAAACCTTTTGATTTGATAGGAATTATTTAATTTATTCCGAGAAGATATAATCAAAAAAGTTGTCCGCCAATTAAAAATAATTTAAACATTAAAATAATCACTAACACTGTTACGATTTTGTCGATAAACTATTGATTAATAATTAATACAATTGATCGAGTTGAATACTGAATAGGGCGTGTATCGATCTTCTATGCGAAGGTTTACAAGTCGGTCAAGCAATACACACACGTGTCTTGTTATAATATAATAGTCGAATTTCCGTACTCTTTTTTTTATATACGAGGAGCAAACAACCTAGTTTTAACACTTTTGCTGAATTTCCAATTTCAATCCTAAGTTCAATAAAAAAAAAACATTATTGCAGGTGTAACAGATATACATGTATTTAATTTGTCTTTTGTAGTTGGACTTCTTTATATTTTTCACCTTTCTTCTTTTTCTTTTTAATGTCAAATTATATACACATTTCCTTTCAAGTGCTGAAAGTATATCCATAATGTAACTACAAAAAAATAGACTTAATGTTTATCCTACTTTTACAAGTCGTATGGCAAATGTAAACTAATCCATGAGCAAAGCAAGAGAAGATGCTAAGGATGCGAAGGTTAAGGGTGCGATAAATAGAACAGATTATAGAAATAATTACAAATATGAATATTAAAAATATGGAGATTCGACTGTACATACATAAAAGTTTATATAATTACATTAACGAATTCCACACACACACATCACTATATTCTATTCTTTAAAAGAGATACTATAAATTATACACTTAATAATTTACATATATCACTATATTTTATTCTTTAAGAGAGATATGATATATAATATCTATATATTTTTGCTGTTTTGTTAAATTACGCTTGCAAAAGTACCACATGATGTATTATCCCTTAATTTCATTGAATTTTTGTAAATAGGTAGAGATCGGAAAAAAATTGACACGTACTTTGCCTTTTACTTAGACACTTAATAACCTAAGAGATAAACGGGTTTAAATATACACTTAAAATTCTAGATTGCAAACTTAAATCCCAATAATGATAAACTTTTTTTCGCCTTTTTTGCATTTGATTTTTATTTCGCTTACACAAAAAATATGTTACGTGTCATCTTCAATCAGAAAAACCAAAACTTAATTTTAAAGAAATTTCTACGCGAAATAAAAATGTTATGCAAAAGAAAACGTGAGAAAATGCGTTACTCGCCGGGATTAAAATCTACGATCAAGAGTTTTCAACATGTATTCCGACCAATTTTATTGTTTAAATCTTGTCTCCTAAACTGTTAAGTGTCTTAAGAGCAGCGAAACATCCATCTTTTTTCGATACTCTATGTGCTAAAAATTCAGTGAAACCGAAGGGTAACACGTTTCCTTGTTAGGTGGTTTAATTTTAGAATATCTAACAATATTTATATTATCCATATTATGAAAAACGCCATCGTTATGGATAGTAGAAGTTATTTTAATGCAATTGATTTTTATTAAAATAGCTTTTACTATATATAATAGAACAGGAAGTTGTATAAGAATGTGTTAATGTCGAAGTATTAATGTCTAATTACTGCCAAATGCATTAACTGCATCGACGATCCATTAAATCGTCGACTTTTACTACACACAATTTTAGCACTTTAATAATTTCATACACGTATATGTATATTTATACATATATGCACAATGAGAATTAAACAAAGCATTGATGGTAATATACTGTTGAACAATCAAGGAATGATGATGTGAATGAACGGACTTGATGTTTAATTGTACAACGTTCGACATTAAGGAAAAGAGAGATGCAATCGTCGTTGGTACTAAGAGCTCGTATTTGTGGGACTGTGACTTGTGATGTGTATGTTTAGTTGTGGCAGCGGACTTTCCCTCACCTGCACAATCATCAAATCGTTTTTTATTCATTAGACAATCCCAATTCTATTCCGATTTATCAATTTTTATTAATCACAGTGCTCTCTGAACTGTTCACGATTTCGCACACCTTTTCTTACGGGAAAATCAATTGGATATGCTCGGATTAATTTCCCTTCGCTTCCATATACGATAGAATTTTTCCGATAATGCCCGACTGAGCTTCTCGGATATTCGCGTTGGATATTTATTAACGTATATTGAACCCCAAATTAATTCTTTGCGGAAAAACTCTCGTAGTTTTCATTAACGGATCCGATTTTATTTAGTCACGAGGCAAACGCATTTATTAATCAGGACTGCCAAGAAGTCGGATCCGGTGATAAATATTATCGCGATACAACATGCCATCTGTTTCCATCAGTCACAAATGCCATAAATTAAATTAAATTACAGCGTGAGATAAAATTAATTGATTGCCAATGGTCGGATTTACAATCAAGGTGATTTGACTTTCGTGTTTGATATTAACGACTTATTAACATTCATCTCACTATATATGATACATTCTTGTGAAGAATTGACACCGGCGTGTTTATGAATCGCTCTAACGTGCATGTCGATATTTCTTTTAATTCATTACGCGTATTATAATTGATATAAACATATCGCGTATAATAAACTTTATTATGAGATTATGAAAGAAAGGAAGAAAGACTGTAAAACTTTCAAAAGTACCTCTTTAATATACGTATATATATAGAAATGCATTTATAAATTTGAAAACTATATGATTGGTTTTCCGTTTACAAAAGACAGTATTTCAATTCTATAAAATGAGTCCATCAGAACAATTTTTGGTAAGATCACACTCTATATCCGGGGTGCAACTCCCATTCTCTCTACTTTCTTATCAGCAAACATATCTGTCTTAATTGTGTTTACACGTGATGACAGTCGGATCGCTGGTTGGGACTCTATAGTCCTTCTTGATAGATTGAGACATTTATGTGGATGTTGTATCCAGGGACAAATATGTCTGAAGACAAATCTATAGTCTTCAAACAGAGTACGCTATTTTATAGTAGAATGACCCCGTTTCTCTTACCTAAAATACATTGGTTTTCTACCATCGAGGAATGGAACATGTTTGTATAGTGTTACATTATTTGTCATGTAATAACGTAGAACCAAAGTAAATGTTATGTGAGTTTTATGATACATTTCTGGTAGTAATAGATTACATATACACGTTTCCTAGCAAGATATAATTAGCAACATAATGTTCGCAATTTGTTTTCATAGGCGATGGCAATGACTAATGATTAGATGGTATTGTTCATTTTTTTGCAATACATATTGCGCAATTTAGAGCACTCGTTGCGAGGTTTTGAGTAAATGCATTTGAAATATATTCGGCAAAATATATTCTGAAACAGACCAAGTGAGAGAGAAAAAGAGGGAGAGAGAGAGAGAAAGAGAGAGAGAAAGAGAGAGAGAGAGAAAGATACGTACGACAATAATAATATATTTTAGGATAAAGTTCGTAAGCCAATCCAAGTCCTAATCACGACCTCAAGCTTCTTTCCAAGTAAATAGCAGCATGTGCACAGCATGGCTAGAAAAAAGCTTGTAGCATATTCCTTAACAGCATCAGCTTATGTTGATTATATAATAAATACAAACACATTATACATGCACATAGAGATATCTAATATATTTGTAGAAGATTGCACTTTAAATACTTATAATTGTATAGAAATCGCACTGGACGATTTCCATGCAATAAAACAAATTGTGCACCGATCGATCTGTGATTTGCAATACTAGCATTCTCTTTGGTACAGTGTTTAATATACGTGTGTCGGGAAGTATAAATTATTCTAAATGATCTTCTCCCGTGTACAAAAAAAAAGATACGAAGTCTGTTCAATACGCGCAGCAATATTTATATAACCGATAGAAATAATTTACTAAACAGAATCCTCGCCCTCATAGCACGAGTCAATTGTAAAGTATCGCTATATGTTTGCCGTAATGTCCAATCGTGTTTTCTTTTATTTGTTAAAGGCATTGAAAAATCTGTTATTGTCGTAGCTTTACAGAAATACCTCTTATATTTAGAAAAATTGATGTTAACAACTTTGCAACGTGATCGATCGGATAATCGAGAATGTAGCAGGTAAAATTATATTTATTTGTTGTTTCAGGAACGTTGACCGTAAACGTGAGCGTATTGCTGCTAAGCTTAGCATCTCCTGACGAGTCCAGTCTGGTAATACAATTATTACTGTACCTTTCCTTTATCTTAGTTTAATCGAAAAAAATGATACAATTGTAATATTAAAGAGACGATATTAAAGAATAGCCAGAATTATAAATACAGAATTCAACATTTCCGGTCAGTTTAATTACATTTATAAAAATGTATTTGCATTTACAAAGGAAATCTGTTTATGTATTAGGAAGGAAAAGTAATCAATTGCGATGATTCTTAAACGTGAAACAATTTCTTTGTGCAACATATTTAAATGCAATCGTGTGTTAAAACACAGCCAAGATCATATGAGCTACGATCATCTTTCTGCTTTCACAGAAATACGAGGTGGAATTCTTACTGCAGCAACAGTGGTACGATCCACGATTGCGTTATAGCAACAGATCAAGATATGAGTTTTTAAATGCGATTCACCATTACGAGAATATCTGGTTGCCGGATACGTATTTCATAATGCATGGAGATTTCAAAGATCCCCTCATTCCTGTTCACTTCGCCCTGCGGATATACCGCAACGGCACCGTCAACTATCTTATGCGGTACATAAAACATCGATATAATTTGACCTCTTATATGCAAGCTGAACGTTCTTAAAATACGAAATGTTTGAAAAGATGATCAATAATGTGTTTTTACAAAGTGATTAATAAAGAATTAATATAATTAATAAATAACATTGCGAAAATTTTAAGAAACGTTCTTTTTTTTCATAAATAACTTGAGATCAATGTTAAATACATCTATAATTTTCTTTTCTCCAGCTGGAAACTCTTTTCGTAAATAATTATTATCATTTTAGGCGTCATCTTATCCTATCCTGCCAGGGTAGACTTAATATCTTCCCTTTTGACGACCCATTGTGTTCATTCGCAATCGAGAGCAGTGAGTAATTAAAATAGCTCTCGGATATGAATGATATAAAAGGATAATTATGTTGTCTCAAACATGCATTGTTGGCTTGAGTTAATAACATTCTCATTTTTACTTTTCAGTATCGTATGAGCAGACAGCGATTACGTATGTGTGGAAAAATGATGAGGGTACGTTACGAAAAAGCCCAAGCCTGACGTCACTGAATGCGTATCTCATTAAAAATCAGACAATCACATGTCCGATCAAAGTGAGCTGGCGAGGTAAGGAAAACAATCGGTTATACATTTTGCAAGTTTATTTAGAGAGAAAAAGTAAGATGTACGCATTTCAAACAATTCCTTTCAAACTTTATAAAAAAGTGTTATTAAATGCACTCTGCAACATTTATGTTTTCATGTTATTCCTAGATTATTAGAATTTTATTTTTGTTATATTGTCTTCTTCTTCTTCTTTAGTTTATCGCGTAATTTCAATTTTTTTATACAAAAATATGCTTTTCATATAAAAATGTTTTTAATACAATCAAGATAGGCATAATATAATATTGGTCATACAATCTTTGCGCGTTCAAATATATATTATCAAATACAAATGAACTTTTTTCGGTGTCATTCTATGGAAGAACAATAAATGCAATATTACATTTGGTAACCAGATCGATGCATCACTGTCGCTATATTTTTCGAATTTTTATTCCATCCGGAATAAAACTCACCGTCGTCTTTATTACCGATGCTTTTTCCTCGAATCGATAAGTCTGGTGGTCGGAACCGAAAAAATTTTTCCATATATCTTCTTTCCATATCTATAAATTATAAGAATAGTGCCTTACTGTATAAATAATCATTTAATCATTGAAATTTAATAATTTTAATCAATCTTTTAACAAAACACTGAATTGAAATTTATCTCTAATTTTGCTTTTATTGCTAATTTTTGTTATCTAATTTAATCAATTTAAAAAAATGATTAATATTAATCATGACATTTGGCGATGTTTATATTTAATTAAAAAAAATAAAAAAGGTAAGTTTGCATGTACAAAAGTTGTATAATAATATAATCCATGTCGTCCTTTTATATCAGTTCTGTTTAAGGAATGTGCTACGCTTAATTTTCTAATATTTTAAAAACTGAAGTACAGCTGAAGTTTTCAGTACATACCGTGCTTCTGTTTCTTTACTTTTTCTCTTAAGAAAAGTATTTTTCGGGAATCCAGTTTCGTTGTAATGTGAAATCTTCTTTTCTTATCATTAGTAGCTGTACAAACTTTTATTCTAACACTAAATTGAAGTGAATATATATTAAGTATATATATATATATACATATTTGTAGAAAATTTACAAATGTTGGTCAATTATATGTAGGATTAAATGTTGAATTAATAATTCACTGTTGCTTTTATTGTGACAAAATACACAATGAATTAATTCTGAAATAATATATCTTCCTTAGAAATGTTCTCCCTTTTTACATACTTTTTTTTATGTACAATGGTACTTTTCTCTCTCTTTCTCATTCTACTGTGAGAATACAAATTAAAACATTGAAGATAAAAATATCACGCATGAAATGATGTAGCAGCACATACGTACATGTATATTGTATAGTATATACTGTACGTATAATAATCATATGTATATACATATGTATAAGTCACTTGTGCATGCGACATAGCGTAATCAATATCCATATAATTGTATCTCTTACCCTGATAGTGATGTCATAGTATTTGTATTTTGACAATGTACACACACGTGTACGATAGTAGATTTTCTAGATTGTCCTAGAAAATGCATATTGGCAACCTTGGATCCTGTCTCGCTTTTCAACTAAAACGCCGTGGTTTGCTTTTGGGGTGAGGCTTTCTTTCTTACGATAACTCTTCATCGGGCGTCCTTGAAGGGCGACCCCTCTCCTTTACCTTCTCGCGCTTATAATCGATCCGTTTGCAGTATCGGCAATTACTGTGAAGAAATCTGAAGAAATTGCGAGGCTCGCCATACTTCGCACTTTGTACTGTGCCAAATGAAAACGGAATTACACTTCATTGTAATTCTAGAGAGAACTTTATTCGTTACCGACGGCTTCTGCTAACATAGAAATCAGGATTTACATGTGTAGAGAAAATAATGACTTTCTGTTAGTAAGCTAATGATTTTAAATCGCTTCTTAGTCATTCAAATGCGACGATAGATTTTCACCTTTGACGCGCGAAACTATGCAGCATGTTTGGTTATATATGTACACCTTTTTTTATATAGGTATCATTTTCAAAAAGATTAACATTATTTTTTTGTGCAATCTATTACAATTTAACAAAAAACCCGATAGTAATGGAAATTATTAATCGCTACAATTTTACTGCCCTTAAAATGACATGGATCTTCAAAATGTCACTACAATTTTGAAAAATTAAAATTAAAATTGTAAAATAGAGCAGTTAACATAATTTCCTATGTACTGTGTGTTGATTTTAAACAAAACAATTACTCTATATATACATATGTATCACATAGTATATAGTACACAGTACGCAGTACACAGGAAATTGCTTAATTTTTTCTTAAAAGGTACCCCGAAGAATTGTTAAAGACATCTTTGAAATTTGTTATATTCTATGAAGACTCGAAGGTCTAATGTACATAAAAATTTTAATATAAAACATATAATTTTTCTAAATCAACATACGTATAATCGCAGCTCTGATAACATCTATTTAAATAGCGGTTTTTTACAATTTTAATCTAAAATTTTTCATAATTAACGTAATGGAAACATTTCGAGTGCTGCAATTATTCGAAACATTATGGAAAATGTATACTATCTTTTTTAGAATAAAAAATAGAGCACACGAGTAATTGTTTGAAATACATTCGTTTGCAAACTTGCAATATTATCATATTTTTCATATATGGCACAGATATTTTATTTTAATTATAACGAATACGATAAACTTATTTATAAACACAAAAATGGAATAGAAATATAAAGGAAAAAATTGGAATTGTAAACACTTAAATATCAATCCACTAACCAAGAGGGTTTTAACTTTTAATGTAATTCGCCCTAAAGGAGTTAACCATGGCGGAAAGTAGGTTACGCTTGATTTATTTCATAAAACGTTGGTATTGTTTTGTTAACAACTAACAAGAAAAATTGAATATACAAACACAGCTTTAAATTATATTGTGACAAAAATATTGCCATTACATACGAGCCAAGTATAAATAGTTTGGTAGTATATGAATAGATTTTAATTTGTAAAGTATCTAGTTTATTAATGAATCAATTCGCCTCAAACTTTGATAAACTTTGTCTGAGACAATTATTATTTCTATTCTGATCTTCATTTGGATTACATACTTCAATGTTCACGTTATATTCATTATACCTTATCACTGTGTATATTACCATTCGTCAACGAAAAATTATCGTAAAATGATAAAAGAATGGAGCAAGTAATTTTCTAAAAAGTGATTTGTCAAATTTATACACACATAACGGAGAGAAAACGTAAGTTTAGTTCCATGAGTAGATCAAGCTCTCCTTACGCTCTTAGAGTTTACTTTCCGGCTCTGTGAAGATTTGTTTCTCCTTACAACACACAAAATCTGGAAAAAAAAGACGGAAAGAGAAATAGAGAAAAGATAGGAAAAAAAAGATCGTGGGCTGTTCTGTTGCAGCTGACGGACAGATCGTGGTTGAGGAGGACGAGTTCGATGATTTTGGAGACTCTAAGTGCTCGCTGTGCCAGCGCAGATTTGAGGAGCAAGGTAAAAATCTATCTCTCTCAACGATATGAGTGTAACGCGTAAAGCGATTCGAAGGAGAATAAATGAGGGAGAGAGAGACAGGAGACCAAGTTTACCAAAACTCAAAATGCCAAAATATCCCAAGTAGATAATCACTGTTTGCTTCGTATTGTATAGTATATTGATTTGCGCAATATTGCGATAAAATTGCTACTTAATTGGAGACCGTAAGACTGTGAGCGTTGCCAAATTTCGTAGTTAGAGCGTTGCAAATGCTGAAGTAATAATTTATCTTCTCTATGCATATATTGAGCGTAGCGTACATTGATTTAATTGCATTTACTTAAATAAAAAAATAATACAGGGAGATTTTTCTATTGCAAAGTACATTTTTATTTTTACAATTTTGTTTACCTTATATTTATATTATTATTTATATAGCGACGCTTATTTATTATAACAAGCTTATATTGTAGCGTTATAGAATTGTTACACGATTACTCGTAAATATTTGCCCATTTATATTGTTTCGAATTTGTCAAAAACGCAATGTCATATTTGAAAGATATTCAAAAAGTTTTGTCATTTTCAGATAAAGCCAACAGATAGATGTGACAAATAACGCAACTATATTTTAGATCTTTTAGATAAAATAATGTATTGTAAAATGGAGAATTGTAAAGATTATAAAAATTCTGTTGGTGAGCACATATTTATGAGTAGTTCAGATCAAGCGCAATTAAACGTAATAAAATAGTAAAGCTAATATAGTATCAAAATGAAGTATACCGAACAATTTTACATTGTCATTTCTTTTATGATTTAGTATATAAGCTTCGCTTTTTATACATATCTTTATTTGCACAATGTATTTTACACATAATGTTTTATTTATCTGTTACCAAGTATCGAATAAAATAAGGACTTTATTTGAAATCAATCCCCAAGAGAAATCCTAACGAGACGGGAGCTTCAAATTAACAAAGCATACAAACAATAATGTTTGAATGTCACCGGCATGAATCGTTCGTATTGTATAATTATTGAATAAATGTTCATATCCTTTTTTTTGTCAACGTCCAAGAAGTACGTGAAAAGTTACATTGAATGTAGAGTTATTTGTGAAACAAGGTAGCTTAATGTTTCCTTAATGGTAAATGTTCCTTCGTGCCTGCGAACTTTCTAACAAGTCTCCCCCTTTGATGCCCATATGTTAGCACTTTGTACAAATACCTCAACTGCTTTCGCGTATGAGACGTTTAATGGCCAATGATTGACAGGATGATTGTATGTGGTGTTTTTTTTTTAATTATTTTCCGAGAAAGCTGTATGTATTTTGTTTAACAAGCTGTATCATTCCTTTACACAACAAAAACTAAGCATTACTTCACGTTTTTAATTTGTCCTAGTTGTGTGTGTGTTCTTGTTATAAAGAAACATACATTTTCATAAATGTTTCAATAGTGAAATACAAACGTCATTAATTCTTAATTAATAGTGAATGGAAAAATATATATTTAAATATTTGAATATGCGTTAATGGGTCTCTGTTCGAATCAATATCAAAGTACTATCGAAATACTTTCTTTTCGCTCCCCGAAAATACGAATCTCCATTGAGTCTTGCTCCAGCATGAAAAATGAAGTTACGTGTGCTTGACTCAGGTAATTACAGCTGCTTGAAGGTGGATCTGATCTTCACGCGAGATCGTTCCTTCTATTTTACTACGGTTTTCATCCCGGGCATTATTCTAGTAACCAGCTCTTTCATCACATTTTGGCTCGAATGGAATGCCGTGCCGGCGCGAGTGATGATTGGTGAGTCCACATAGCAAAATTCATCGTTTCACAAAGATCTCTTCAGAAAGGAAAATATACCCAAAAAGCGCAGGTGATCGAACTCAAGAGATTTACTTTATTAAACTCTTTATAATTAAACTCTTTATAAAAATAACGTAATTAACGTAATCTATTCAAAATTAACTCCAAAGGAATTTCTGTCCGGTGCGAATCCTTATAGAATATAAAACGAAATCGCTTTGAATTCTTAAGGATGTTTTTAGGACAGAAATGAGATTTTAAAAATTTAGTTCACAATTTAGAAAATCGAAAAGAATTCTTTTGAACTCTCCGTGTTATCTGGGTATGTGTATATCGTTTACATATACATTTCACACGTGTATGAAAGTCGTCCATTCTTCACACCGCACCTCACACGTTTAGAAACAAACATAAAAATAAACAATGAAGCCTTGCACACAGTGTCTATTTTTAAAACAAAGATCCCTTTGTCACACGACACCAACGTAGCCTTGACGTTCTTTCAAATTAGAGCGCAAACAGACAGGTTCAGTAAACCTTTCAAACAGATCTCGCATGTCCAGTTCACAGCATTTTATTAATCCTCGAGCAATGTACCTTCAAAATGTTATTTCAACGAAAGTTGTATCATTTAAACGACTTAAACGATTAAATAATATAATTTTTGTTGAAATAATTTATATGAAAAAAATTCCTCGAGATAAAATTTTCCCGTACGTTTATTCTTGCATTTATAATCACATGTTATCCACACATCTGTCTTAGAATTAATAGAAAAAACTTGGTTAAAATTTTATTTTTGATTGTACTTAACAAATTGTCCAATATCTGAAATGTTCTGATTTTCCATAGAAAATTCGTCGCGTCTACTCGTACGAACAGATTAGGCTTTGAATATTTTTTGCATTTCACAATGGACACGCACAGTTTTCGACACAGACAGGGAAAATCACTGTTTTCAATTATACTTCAGGTGTAACAACGATGCTCAACTTTTTCACCACGTCGAATGGCTTCCGGGGAACGCTGCCCGTCGTTTCGAACTTGACTGCCATGAACGTGTGGGACGGCGTGTGCATGTGCTTCATCTACGCGAGTCTTCTCGAGTTCGTCTGCGTGAATTACGTCGGCCGCAAACGGCCGATGCACAACGTTGTCTATCGTCCGGGCGAGAATCCCGTCACCCAGGTACTTTGCTGATTGATGTATTCTCGATAATTTTATCCGGCGCGTGACGCGTAAACCGCATTTTCATCGCCAATATTCAGCGATGCGAATTCGAATGGGGCCGTACTGCCTTTTTCGCGTAATTAACACAAATTAACTGCGACATAAATTGATACAAATCGTTTTTTTAGACACACATATGTAATATTTGGGATCGGTTTAAAAGCCCGTAACTGTCATCGATAATAAAATGTTATGCGAAAATGATACCCGTGTAAACTTTTCGGACTTTTTCTTTATTAATTATAGTAACCCACAGTTACACGCGCATACACGCATGATTATCGTACGATTAATTACATGGCTAATTGGGTTTATAGTACATGTAGAAATATATTAATATATATATGGATGTTAACATTTTAAACCGGTCCTAATAATGAGCCATTATTTCTTGCAAGGTAAACAAATTAAATTAAATTATTAATCGTTCTGTTTGCTGATATCGACAATTAAGCGAGAATATTAATCGTCATTGTTTTTCAGAAATAAATATAAATTCCTTGCGTTCACGCTCATAAGTTGATTTAAAAAGACACCTGACATTAGTTAATGTCTACAAGTTATGATCTTGCAACACGTAAATAGGTGAGCCGACGATATTAGATAAGGGTAATCAATATCGACACTATGATCTTGTTAAGGAGATAATCTTCTCTTCACCAGAGAAGTAAATTGAAACTCTATGAATTCCACGAGAATCTTATTGATCTTGAATTTAACTTGTAAGACCACAGTCGCGCGCGATCATCTCTCTAATTTCATCGGAGATAATTCGCAAGAAGATTGCAGCGAGAAAATAGAATTTCATATCTCGAGAATGGGATAAATGCCAGGTAAACGTACACATTAGAAGTCGGAATCTTACTCATCACACGACTGGTCTTTTGTATTGTCTTGCGCATCACAAGTTTGCGATCAGAGATCGCGATGAGCGGAGACACGATGAAAAATGCCATGAATTCCCACAATTCGTTATTCTTAAGATTATATTAGTAATTACGATGAAATTATCGGTACGAAAAGTTCGCCGTTTGTCATGATGCATTCTGAGTTCTGTGCGTTCTAAGTTCCTTCGAAAACAGATTTTCTGTCATGTTCGATACTCGTTTGACGCACCGTTCGTTCCTTTATCGCGTTTACATTCTGCACCCAAGATTTTTGTGGCGTGATCTTGCACAAACACGAATTATAATTTCTTCTAGTCTCTGCATCTCTCTCGAGACTTCGACATCTACATAGGTTTTCATCCGTGGTGTATTTTTTTTTCCAGAGAGTGTGAGTGTATTTTTTTGTCAAATCGACCACAGGTGCTCCTCGTAAGCTACGAAAGAATCGCGCGGATTATGCCGCATCTTTATCGTTAACAATCAATCGGTCCTCGAGACACATTCGATACAACATGTATCATATCAACAACACGTGTTCAGTCACATAATTGTTATACGCCAATACTTTGTATTTAATGCACGAAGGCATCTGTTTTAAAGAATTACTTTGAAAAAGGGGAAAGAAGACGACTCTTACCTATATATTCTTAAGCAGATAGCTCAGCATGCTGCAAGTTTGAGCACCACTGGCATAAATAGCGCGCTATTCCTTCGAAAGTGCTCATTATTTTCGAAAGGGGCTGCAATATGCATGTCTCCATTAACTCTTTCATTCTTCTATCATGAGACCTCCCCTCTCTCCTTTCTTCCCTCTTTCTTTTCCCCTCCTCCGTCGCTCTTCCTTTTCTTTCGCCCTCCTGCCCTCGTTCCCTTTCTCTTCTCCCCTTTTCTTCTTCCTCCCTCTCTCACACTCTCTTTTTCTCTTCATATTTGTCTATTTCTGTTATAAACACGATTAGTAAGAATTTGGTTGGTGGAAATGTTGGTGAGTAAGTCTCTTTGTTTGGTGTCTGTGATGTTGCAGCGGCTTCCAGCGGTGCTCAGCAGGATAGGAATTATATTGGCCAGCCCCTTGGTAAGACCCCCCATTGCATTAGGGCGCAGTCACGACTTCGCGCGTTCTTGGCTTTCGCGGAAAATCCGATTGCAAAATTTCCTCTCTCGATTTATTCCGAGTATTGTGGGGGGGGGGGGGGGGAAAGAAATCCGAGAAAAGAAAAATATCTGATTATCTAAAAGGAATGTGTGCACTGTGGCACGTGTATATGATTTCACGTATGTGACAGCATCAGAAATGAATGATTACGGAGAAAAGGAGAAAGAGAAAAGAGAGAACAATGTACGTGCAAGGTCTTAACCGCGTCCTAAAAAACCTACAGATGCAGGACATAGACTGCGGTCCACTAAGCGCTACGAATCATTCGAAGCGTTTGATTAGCTGATCAGGTTAAAGAAATCTACGATTCGCAGCATTTGTAGCACCAAATGAATCGCAGCATACACACATGTACAAACACACATATGTACAGATATAGACGTTTGATTTTATCATATCATCTCAAAAGTCACATATCCTTTATATCCCCATATTAATATTATGTTGCATAGGAATGTACGGATATTTGCAAAGTATCAATTAAGTTCGATCAATCATACTTGATGATATTCATTAATTCAGGTAATCGACAAGATCAAATTTGTGCAACTCGGTTATTTTTTACCGTTATTATTCCAATAACGATTTAATAGACAATGATTTAATAATGTAATAATTAACAATTAATCTACACATAATTTCTGTGACATTTAATTGTTTCATTATTAATTGCTCAAGATAGATTTAAATAGACATCTTTTTTTCTAATAAAAATTAAAACATAGTATATCAATTATCCAACTCTAGTCAAATTTTAATCAGCTCCGATAAGATCCGAACTGAGTATTCAAATATTTAAAATTTTTGAATAAAAACGACGCAAAGAATAAAAAAGAAAGGAAAGTAGCAATTTTTTAAGTAAAATGAATTTAATAAAAAAGTTTTCGGTACTCCTATAATTATTTGTCATTGTGACAAATATACTCACGAAACATAGAACATTAAAAACACGATTACCTAGCCATATATGTAGAATTGATATTTTTGTATCTGTACTATCGAAAATATTGATAACACTAACATTTACATGCAGGGTAAATCTTTAAAGAGCTGCTTGATGATGCTTGTTGAAAGTATCAAGATCTGCTTTGAAAAATGTATATATTTAATTTATAACTTTTCGCAAAACATAATACTGATTTTAAAATGATTTTATAATAATAAAATTTCTCATATCTTATAATTCTGTATGTACAAGTCAATTTTATTGACTTTGTTGTTTATTACGAGTTTAAAACTACATACGCATATCTAATATAACTGTCAAGATAATTAGATAATTTTGCATGTGTGCATTGGTTTGTATTGATTGACTTGTGTCAACCTGATATTTATAGATTTTTAAGAAAATTACTAATCATATACACGCGCATGCAAACACACACACACACACACACACACACACACACACACACACACACACACACACACACACACACACACACAATGTTTAAACTTTTGTTTAAAGAATTTTCTGCACAACAAAAATATTTTGCAAGTAATTTCGGGTCATTAGTCAAATTAGATAAATTACTCTGTATATTAATAAATTCAATGCAATAAACTGAAATATTGTAAAAGTTGTTTCTTTATTTACGTAAAGTAACAACTGGTAAAATACCTCTCGGATTTGCAATTTTTTTATTTATAATTTTGAGTTTAGATTTATGCAGTCACAGTAACTCCAAAAATCTATAGATATAAAGTTGCATACATGCAAATAAATAGCAAAAATACAGCGTGGCTACAATGAATTTTTTATTAACGCTTTATTTTTCATTAATTAACTTTGAACAAAATTGTGACGTAAAACGCGACATTTATTATTAATTTAACAATAAGCATTATCGTTACCGGATAATAGTGCCATATCTATATTGCACAATTGTAAACTTTTCATTAGATATTAACGGTCTCTTTAATTCTCCAATCAGAAAGTTAGCGTGACTCGGTTATCCAAATAAGTTTTAATATTATTATTTTCCTAATCAATAAATACAGCAGGTGTTATTTGTATTCAATCAACGAAACATATTAGTTATTTTAGAGCGCATAAAACTTTAAGATTTCAAAGTAGAAAAAATAGAGAAAATAGAAATTGATCAAAATTATAATTGAAAAATTATGAATCAAACCAATACTCAGTGTCTTTTTGAATACATGGATGATAATTGTTCCTGACAAATCCAATAGTTAATGGACAGTTATTTAGGATAAAACGACTATAAAACAAAAAATCTGAAACATTTGCAAAATTGGTACATTTAATGCGTTTTTTTATTCGTGTAACGAAATTTTTTTCTTTTTTTACGGCAACATGCCTGTATACTGTTTCGATCTGCCACTAAATTTTTTAGCTAATAAACAAATTCCGATGCTGTGATTCTTTTTTTATTTGTCAGATTTATTCCCGCCAATTATTTTTTCTGTTTACAATAAAATTATGGAAAGAAGAAAAGTTTGGGCGCATGGAAATTGTCGGAAAATGTAATCGAGAAGTTCCAGAGAAGATTTTTAGAGAAAAGCTTAAGAAGCCTTTTTTGTTGGATCAATAAAAATGATGTTACAAGCAAGACAATTCTATGTTAAACATCACGTTAAAATTTATCTTTTTTTTAGTAATTAAAAAAATTAATCAAACAACTTTGTAACCACACTGTACATATATAAAAATTAATTTAATATTGGCCGCTATATTTTTTGATTGTGCCAATGTGAGTATTTTAATCTTATTCTTCGTGAATAATGAATAATCAACATAAATTATGCAGATAGTGCGAATTTCCATTGAAAGCGTGAAGACAGCATTAGTAAGAGACAATGGTGAATCAATACTTTCCTTATGTCCGTTTCTATCAATGCGGATTAACTTTAATCTCAGTTTAACTTACTTTTCATCTTTTTCTAGTTCTAGCAAGAATGAAAAAAAGAGCATCTGACCACACACATTTTTAATGTAGTCGCCAGCCATTGCATTATTATTAATGTGCAATCTATTGATATAAATTGGATAATCAACGAAATTAAAAAGAATCCTTAGTACTCTCTTATACAAGTTAAAGAAGTATTTCAGTTTGTACAAGATCGGAAATAATAAATTAATTATATCTCTGCAGCTCTGTAAAGTAATAGGAAATGTGAAATAGCCGAGATACGTATATACATATAGATAAAAAAACGACCGATAAATACACATATCCGAACATATTTACGAGAAATGACACTGAATCTTCGCATGAACAGATGTTTAAGAATTATCTAATTTTCCTCAACAAGAGGGGACTTAAAAACAAAACACTTCCACATAAACATTTTCCCTGGCACTCTCTTAATACTTGATCAAGTTGTTACTACTTCTTGTGTGCTTTTGGATCGAGTATCTCTATTCTTTAATTTTTGTCTGTACTTTTTTTTGTTCGATGCACGATAATGCCCGCTCTCTGCGTTAGCGATGTAAGTGCATGTTATATATAAATGCACAGAATGAAAAGAAATAATTATTTGTGTGATTGCGTAACGAATAAATGAAAGGCAAATCAATATAGTTCTATTTGTTCTTTCTTTTTACATATTTTGGGTAAAGTGTAAAGATGCATACATCCGAGTAATTCAATCGAGTTGAGTAGTCTCTGCTTTATGAAATTTCGCAAATTACTGTGCATTTATATGTATGAAATAGGAGATATGGTCTCGTTATATAAATTTCTCTCCCATTTTCGTTTACCCCCGTTATCATCCCTTTTGTACCTAATCCGCGTTTTATATTCATAACGGAGAATCGTTAAAATGTATATGTACATAACACATGAAATACGTAAGAGTGCATTGTGTATGTGCATGATTGCATGCTATAATTTTACCTGATGCTATTTTCTAATATTTCGGTGTTTTAGCAAGGAGAGAAAAAAAAACAGAATACATCTTCGTAACTTGCGCATGACAATGACAAAAAAAATACGCTTAATCATTTTTTAATTGCTTCGACGATTCAATTGTTTCCTACATTTTACAAAGCATATGTAACGAAGTATACATATATTTGCTTTAAACAGCTCATCACTGACGCCATTTTGAAATTCTGCGTTTCGTTTAATGCGGAATCACTTTCTCGTGTTTTTATTTATAATTTTCAATAAGTAATTTTACTAACTTACTTGCTGCTATTTTAACACTCATTTTTTATTTGTTCCATAATTCTTAAATCAATTGACTGTTCCTTTTGTAAAAAAAGAAATCATTTATTAGGAAATACCAATATCTCTTTTCGAGCGAACGTTCTAATTGCTTCCGCTTGATCACCAGCGACCAGGATTTTTCACGCAAAGTAATTTTTGTAATACATTACAGATCACTATATGCCTAGTAAAATGTTATAAGCCCATAATCGATTTTCGTTTATACTTTTCTTAGTTTTACTATAATCAATGTTATGACATAACAAATGTACAAGAAGCTTCTTCTGAATGGAAACGTCGTGGTTGCTGGTGTGTTAATAACGTCACTTACAGACATTTTCGAAATAGAAAAGCTTTGAAATATTGATATGCTGTTGAAAGAAAAATCAGGAATAATGATAATTATCGTCACTTTGATAACTGTCATTATCCCAAATGCTTTCTGCGTTCGATATCTTTTATAGCTCTCATCATAATCAACGATAATTAATTTCGAGTAGGGCGCAGTAAAACAATGTTATTTTCATCATGCAAGGAAATCTTATTGGCGCAAAAATCATAAATGCGCAAGAATATAGACAAGTTATTCCAACTGCTTGGAATTTAAAATTACGATAGTCATGTGAGAAAAGCAACAAACGTATAATTAATTAAAAATTATGACGTCGATTAACACATGTACTTACATATAGAGGGAAGGAAAGAGTCTGGGACGAGAATCCACTTCTCGAAGATCAATTTAGCTTGAAAAAGAAGCTTATGTGAGCTTGAACTCATTTGAACTTGCTCCAGGTTATAAATTGAATATTTTCCCTTAGAGAAGTAATCAAAATAACTATTACGCGTCTCGAAGGAGAACTTATAGGAGATGTAAACATCTATAAACGTAGACATTTGATTTTCTTACTCCCTCGACATTTCCAGGCATTACTCGGATTTATTGGAAGCATCGACGATATTGAAGTATACCGTCAGAGAAGTGAACAAGGTTTTCTAATAAATTCAAGTAACAAGTAGAAATGTTGAGGGAATAAGAATGAGATGTTTGCATTAAAATGCAAAATAGCTTGCGAAGATGGATCGATGTAAAGTTGTCAGAACAAAAACTCACTATAACTTGGAAACGAAATCAAATGGAACATACATTTGTATGAATAGTTTATTATTTTCAAATGGAGAATCCATTCCTGAAATGGATCCCATGCATTACCAGATTTTCCGCGTACAGAGTAATCCATTAGAAACGGACCTCCATGAGAAAACAGATTTTAATATTTTGCTTCTGATAATACAAATACGTAACGCGAGTAATGCAGGTAAATATTTTTTCAAATTACGGAATGCAAAGGGACGATTATAATTAGCATATTTAATTCAAGATCATATAACACTTGTTCTCTTCTATTATACATACATAATTTCTTTCCGAGACATTTATTTGTATTGTTACATATGAAGGAACGGGAAGAGTTGGGGGGAGGGAGAGATGAGGAAAAGTAAAGCAGAAGGGAAAGGAGAGGTAGAGAAGTATTAAGCTCACTGGAGTCATTATGGATGACTCTACACTGAATGCATATGCGCGCGTACGCACGCGCGCGTGCACACATAACACACGTACATACATACACATGTCATGCCTTAATTGTGGTATCAACAAATCGCTTTTACCATTGAACTAATCTTCATTGAAGCTTAACGCATAGCTTGTAATGAAATATCTTTCAAGACGCAATAAGGCGGTGCGGGGATCCGTTTGAAAATTTATAACTTTTTTGCAAACATTTTCAAGCGAGGTCACGGAGAAAGATATGCCGAGAAGTAATTCAGTTTGTTATAACGCATCGCAGATTGCTAATTTTTAATTTATATAGTCCGAAATGTATTTAAATATGTTTTGGTCTAATTGAGTTTATATTTCTGTACACGTTTTTTAGCTGCATTTAATTTTTGTACATTTCTGTACATTAGCTATATATCAATTTCGATAAACATAATAGATCATACTGTACTTCTTTCACATCATCTTTCTCCTCCCATGAAACTTCGAGAAAATCGCAAAGAGGCTCTTCTAGTAAGCAGCATCCGATTTATCTTTTGAAAGGGACTTATACATTCAAAGAGATATCTATCGAAATTATCGCATTTACAAATATACATTTGTATAAACATTATGTCCATCCAAACGTACCAAATGTAAAAACAGAAGCTGTTTTTACACAATCGATTCGTGTTTTAGTTTCCCGAGTGACGGGACATTCGGTCAGAAAGTCACATTGGATCCGATTTATTTCATGGTTGAATGTATAATGAAAAAAAGAAATAGATAATTCGCGGGCAAGTGCATGCATTATTTTTGCGCTAAATTAATAAATTGATCAGAATAGACCTTCATTTATTCTACATCGGAATATGATAAGTTGAGGTTTATACGGCGTTCATGCTATAGAGATACGAAAGAAGTGATTGATAAATATGTGTGTTGAAGAATATTGAAAACTATTGTGAAAAGCAACGATTCACTCTTTGATGATTTTCGCAACGGGTTACCAATCTCCGACGACCCAATCTCCGCGACTTTCACCGTTTAATTCACGTCTTTCTCCGATTCACGCCGTGTCATATGACGTCATTCATCACAGGCGGCCCTTGACATGTCAGAGACTGCAATTGTATCTAGTTCATCAGAAGTGGGGCAAATGCGCTTCTTTTGTATTTAATCATTTCTATCAATTTATCTCCATATTCTCAATCCATGAACGAGGATGCTCGACACTGTTTTAAAACGGTAACGATCGCCAGTGAGACGCACCGCTAAATCAGCGTGCAAATATCGGACGTTCTTCGTCCATTTGTAACATGGAAGTGATACGTCAGTCTCTCCAGTGCGTTCCTTTCCGAAAATCTCACATGCCTCTACGTGCAAGCTTAATTGCCTTTTCTTAACAAAGCCTAGTACGCTTACGTATTAGTACGCTTATAAGAAGCCGCGCCACCGATTATCTATTCGTCGCCAAGTATCTTTCTAGAAAGTAGATTATTGTGCGCTGCGACACGCAACGTCATGCCGCGTATCCAAAAGTATCGTAATATTTCTATTTCCATGTTTATCAATCGTTTAAGCCATACTCGCTTCTATATATAAAACGATGAAAGAATTTTAGTAGATACGAAATCTGTAAAGAAAATTCCTGAACTCTCTGACAATTTTTCGGAAACGACTTATTCAACATCGAACCTTGTCTCCTTCGAAATATTCTCCTCGGTTATCATATTCTCCCATCGCCATTTACAACTTCTGCAAGTAGTCTTGGTATGCGGTTCTCGGGATCGTACGTTAAGTCTGTCTACAAAATTTCCTTGGTGTCTTTCAATTGCGTCGAGTCTCTGGCCTTTCTGTGAATTTCAGTTTTGGAAAAAGAAAAAAGTGGCGACCAAATCGGGTAGAGTAGAATAGCTGAGAAACCATAGTCATCTTTGTTTTGCACAGAAGTCACGAATTAACAACGTTGTCGTATTGGAGGAACCACGAGTTAGTTTTTCCACAATTCAGGCCCTTTTTGAGGTAATACGAAAGGCAAGAGACCGAAGATTCGACGCAGTTGGAGGCATCGAAGAAAATTCGCAGGCGAACTAACGCGCGATTTCAAAAACGCATACTAGGATCGCTTCCAAAAGTCGAGAGAGGTGACTCAATCTGAGGAGAGTATTTCGAAAAAAAAATTATTGAGGCAAAGTTCTCGGGAACTATTTGAACAGATAGAGAGGAGAGTGTAAAAAAATCTGAAACCGTCGCACGCGTGAAAAGTTTTGAAAAATGATCGAGAAACGAGGGCGGAGGAGAATCTAAAGAGTGCAAGGACGAGAAAGGGGGCGAATCGAAAGGGTGGATCGTTGTTTAAGATATAAAAACGCCGTATAATTGAGAATATAGTTTCTTCTACGGAGACCCTGTCGTAGGGTAAAAAGAAGCGGGAGGGCGGAGCTGCTACCGGTGGTACTACTGGACCGAACGAGATCGTCACTTGCACCAATTGCGGACCTAATCCCTGCACGCATACGGCAACGAACGGTTGCACCGCCGAGGTAAGCGAGTGTCTTGTATACGAGTTCAATAATCCATTGTATAAAAGTGTCACTGCCTTCCTTTCTCAAGAAACATAAAAGTATATTTAAATAAACTTTAACTAATTTAAAATATATCCGATTACTATGAAATATCAAATGCCATTGTAAATCTAGGCGAACCTTTCGTTAATTCTTGGAAAGTACCTGTGTCTAGAGTTTATAAGAATGTTATAAAAAAATAATAATCTCGTGCTGCTGTAAGAACGAATCCAATACGCGATAACTCTCTGCCCTCGTAAGTCTTCTGGTTGCCACTGAATCTTATAATGTTATACGCGTTCGACAGGAACCTTGTAAAGTCTAAAGCTCGGTCGCGATAATAAAACTTTTCTCTTGCAGCTAAGGAAAAAGGACCCGCCGCATCCAATTAGAGTGGCGAAGACGATCGACGTGATAGCCAGGATCACTTTCCCAGTCGCCTATTTCATGTTCCTCACCTTCTTCTTCATTCACTATAAGGGCACCTCGTAGAATGACGCACAACGATCTCCGAGAGATCTCCCATCGCTGGTATGAGCGACAACGAAACTTTCCAATAGGTGACCGACGTTCGTGCTAAAAATCGAATCTACAGTAGACACGACTCTTGCCCTCGAAACTGTTTCCAAGTAGACATTTTTAAGACGTAATCGTTTGTATCGCAATCAAACAATTATTTGATCTTCTCTGTAAAGGCAAGAGTAACGCAGACAAGCAGGATTCAGAAATTCTTACGGAGTCGTGGATGTTACCTGACTGCAATGAACGAACGAAATCAAACAGATCAGCTGTAATGAGTGGACGGGACGTCTGAGGGATAAGAGACTTTCTCTCCCGAAGGAAGGAAGGAAGGAAGAGGGCCATTAGTACGACGGTATTCGAAGGTATAAAGGACACGGATACCAACGATGGATCGTCTCCGACTATTCTTCATCTCCTCTCACGTGTGATAGCTCTTGAAAGCACTCCTCTACGGGGGAAGTAGATTACGATCGCTTCGCGATCCTGCGCAGCGGCCATATACACTTATCTTCATTATTCTTTTCTCTTTCTTATATCTTAGATAGGTAATAGAATGTGTCGCTGGCGAACACTTTGGCCAAGCAGAGAGAATGACGCTTAGCTTAATTAACGATCGATGATCAAACGTACTTGTGTAAGATATAATATTGCAGACGAACCTCTGTATTCTTAACACCTGTAATCTTAACATTCTTACGACGTGTTCCGAAATGCCCTAACAATACAGAAAATGTACCATTCACGTTACGTATATACAATACATTTAAATGTCAGTACATTTCGGAATGCGCGCCCTTAATCTCCGTATTTTTAACACCTTTTTCTAGCACTGCTCTCCGCCAGTCATATTTGCCGCGCAATCATTAAGCGACAAAACTTCTCCTTATATCCGCGGCACTAAATGGGCTGATTGTAATTAGTTTACACAGCCTTAAGCGAATAGTACTGGCCACTATCGAAGGCACTATTGCTTCATTTCGAAGAGATTCGCATATCATATTCTTGAGTTGATACACAGAGTGAGAAATAGAGAAAAGGGGCCGAAGGGATCTAGAAAAAGGATAGAAATATGGAGATTAAATGTAAAGACAATTTTTTTTAATGGAAGAAGATTGACAACGATCTTGGGACGGCAGTTCTTTCGTAAAGTAAAGAAAGTGTACTCAGAAGAGGAAAACTTTTACATTTCGTTTAACATGTTTAACGTAAAAGATCTTATAAGTTGTACAGCATAAACAGTTTCACAGAATGCACAATATAATATTTTCTGTAATTATAAGAACAAACAACCGAGCCAAAAAGATTGCATTAAACAATACTGTAACTATCCAGGTTTGTTGAAAACACATTTTAATAAGTAATTATTATGAATATAGTCGACAGAATTTCGGAAATATAACAAAATCTGCTAACACATAACGGCAAGCCGCAGAAATCGAGCATAATTTGTCATTTCATAATCGCTTGAATGATATATTCCATTTAACTTACAAAATAATAGATTTTGTACGAGTTTTGCTGGCTCTAACATTAGATTACATATCGGCGAAGGAAATTGAACATGAACTTAATGTAAATGCATTGATGCTAATCTGCCTCAATATTCTGCTCAAATCTGCTGACAAATTGCAACAATTATAATAGTTTAACGTAAATAGAGATCTAACGCTCTGCGAAATTTGCTTGAGAAGACGTGAGGAGTTTAAGTATTGTATGTTTAATTGAAGTTAAGGATAGAACTAATGTTCATGGAAACTGACCATGGTGTCAAAATATCCGAAGATATTAAAGATACAGAATCTGTCCTTTTTTTCTGCCATTATTTTATACATGTAATGTTTTTTGAGTTGAGAATTTTATTCGTCAACGGCACCACACATCCTCATTGTGTGTATCATTCAAGTGAAAATCGAAACCGATGGGGAAAGAATAGGAAGAGATCGTTTGACTGATGCTAAGAATATGGACGTTCGAACTGTACTAGTGCAAGCAAAAAAAACACACACTATCCGTGGACGTGGTTGATTCGTGACCAGTGTTTTATCGATATTGAATCTTTCGCTTGTCGCGCTGCGCCTAATTTTCAAAGTCGAAAATCAGAAACCGAACGTTGAAACGATTCGTGAGGACCGCGGTGGGGCAGTTACAGGATATTTCACGTAACATAAATAATTGTTGAGGACGAGAGAGAGAGAGCGGGATAAGTGTATCGAGATTGACTAGGTAGATAGGTAGGTAGAGAGCTGGATATAGATTACAGATAAAGCTTTCGTTGTGATACGTCTACCGGTAAGTGAAGAGTTTAGTATACGCGTCAAGTATCCTGTATTCAGATCTAATAGAAGCTGTTAGATGAAACCGAAAAAAAAAGTCGAGTCGGGAAACGAAGAGCCTATTTCCTCCGTGCCAGAGTATATACATGCTATTTGCCACGACGCAGTGTGTACGTGTATATCGAAGCAAAGCCGCCGCCATTAGCGCGATAATATAAATGGAAGATGCTAAAATGCTACGGACACTTTACTTTGTAAGAGTAGGAGGACATATACGTCACTATGGCGAACGCCGAGGCGAGAGAAGGAAGGCAAGTGGTCGGTTTATGATGCGATGCGCGGCCGCACCGGGAAAGACTATCTATCTTGACATTACTGAAAGTAACAATACGCCATACAATCGCGCTTTCTTCTCGACCGGATAATTAGGTACGTCTCTACGATATGCGTCAAGCGTCGTCGACTAGCTCGGATACTATTGTGTAGCTTGCGTACTATTTTAGATGCAACATCGCTACGCTACACTACTACTATATATCACTATTACTACTTTTATTATTATCGCAACTAATATTATTATACTGTTACAGTTGCTATTTTAGTATTCGTATTATCGCTACTACTGTTACTATTATTACAGATACACTATTGTAATATCGCAGATCTTAGGCGAGACGCGGAATCGGGAGCGCCTACGAAGCGCCTACCATTTATACTGATCGAATCACCCATTTATTGTCCAGCAATATTAAAAGAAACAGCAGACCAAAGAACAAAAAAAATAATAATACGAGCCGAACGTATACACCGAGTACATATTTCGATAATCGCGGCGATTACTCGAGGTCCAGTAGATATTGCTTATGATATAAGAGTAACATGATCTCGCTATATTGTTATTGTGTTGTTGGGTGTGTGTTAAATTAGGGCTCCCCAACCCAATCCCCGTCAAGGTTTAACCGGCCCGCCAGGAAATTTCGACGTTTTATACATGTAGCCAGCAAGCACTAAACTGTTGCGTACTCTCTAAAATTTGTGGAGTGAAAATACTGCCATGGAGTGAAATGTTTACTCCATTGGAGCTAATATTCACTCTGTTGGAGGAAATATTCACGCCAATAGGGTGAACATTTCACTACACGGCAGTATTTTCACTCCACAAATTTTAGAGAGTAACATCAATGTTACAATTTCCCGCCCAACAGTGTAACTATTACGTGTAATATGGCGTTATGTTACATTTATATTGTTGAGTGGAAAATTATTATGTTAGGCAACTGTCAGTTGGTGTCAGCTATATATTTTTTTCCCTCATTTTATATCACGTCTTTGATTTTACGGTTCAGTCGTCGGACTTTTATAACGTAAGGGACTTTTAAAATACAAATACTTCGCCTCTGTACAATTTTCAAAATTAAAACTTATGTTCGGTCGTTGAAAAGATCTTAACGCGGCCCTTTTGACAGGTTGGAGATCCCTAGTGCAAATGATGTTTCAGAACACACCGACACGAAGTGCTAGCACACGTCCGCGCGCGCGCGCACGGTACACATACGCACGCACGTGACGCACGCGCGCTCGCGCGGGCGTGCCTGCGTCATGACGAATGCGCGTTCAGATTTGAAAAGACATGTACGAGGATCGATTTTTCTCTGACGACGGTTAGCTTCGATCTCAATTTTCTACGCTACACGTATATCGAAGGACGATCTGAAAACTTTTCGACACGTAAATGACTCAATTAATGTGAAATTAAAAAATGACTCGAGGTCTCGTTTACGTTACGCAATAAAATGTTCACTGTAAAGGAGAAAGAGGAGCGTTTAGATGATTGCATCGCTAACCGACGTTGAAAGAATCGAGCCCGAGCGGCAAATACTCACTAACACAGATCTCGTTTGATAATTGTGACTGCCAAAAAAAAATTTTAACTTTCACTGGCATGTGGATGTATACCTCCAATTTGAAACTCTTCTACATTGTAAATTAGCAAGGCAGGATCGTGAAAGATCATGCGATGAAGCATCGATAACATTTGGACTGGCCTATTTTGATTGGACCAAACAAAATGATTTAGTCCAAAGACGCTGCTTAACTCTTAAATGCATTTGCTTATCGTTCGCTAATGTTTTATCAATTTTTATCGGAAGAAGGAAAAGAAGTGAAACAACAAACAGACAATGTCGTAATATGCAGCATTCTAGTCCCTTCTAGGCTTATAATTTGAATAAACACGTGTCGTCGTTATTGACGACAGAAATAATATTATAAAAGTCATGCAACTAAAGCTAATGCACTTTAATGACTACAATTTTGTTTATACATTGTCCTACGATTTTATAGACTTAAAGAGAAGAAATCTAATTCCGTTATATTAAAATTGTCGTTATCAATAACTTTCAGAAGAGTATTTAAACATATGAAAATGAACGATGGGGGATAATGCATTTGATAGATAAGAAAAGAGTTTTTCAATGAAAGCCATTTGGATCTGACGGAAATTATTCGACGGATATTTTGCAAAACTGTTGCTTAAATAAAGAGCAAAATGCAAAATGAAAAGAGAGTACGGGAAGAAGGATGTAAAAAATTATGATTAAAAATATTCGTACGGGTATAAATATTGCAGCTCTCTTTCAGAAAGTTTCAGCAATATATCGTAAAACATAGATTGCACTGCAATAAATACAAATATTCTTCGATTTTAATATAATCGTAAGGCCAAGCAGACGAAAAAAACGTCTTTTGCACGAGTTTTTCAGAATGAATGGGGAGTATAATTTCTTTTCTCTCCGGAATTTGAGATAAAGATAAAAAGGAAGGACAAGTAGTAACGATATACTTTTTTCTTGTCTTTTATGTGTAGATAACAAGGTACATAGTGATAACGATGTCACATTACAATGTGAACAAACTTTGAAGGAAAAGAGAGAGAGTGGGAAAGGAAGGGGGAGAGAAAGAGAAGATGGATTAGTAGATAGATCGAAAGCATTATTTATTAAGCGCTCTGGTATGTGGCGTTTCCACAAACAAAGAGAGAGAAAAAGCGAGAAGGAGAAAGGGCGTCACGAAGGTGAAATTATTTCAATTATGAAATAAATAATATATAGAATTTTTTGCATATAATAATTGTCTTCATACACGATAATAAAATTAAAATCAATCTACTTCTTTCTTTGCAAAAACAATATAACTGTGTTAGATCATCTCTCTAATTCCTCCGAGTTTGTTTGCAGCGTAGTGTTTCTCTCGAAAACTAGAGCCTAACTTTTCAGACAAAATTTTTCGTCGGCAATATTTATTTTGTATACCAATAAGAGATCATTGATCGAAGGCGTCTTTGATTTTCACAATTTAAAATGAATATTGAAACTTGACAGTTTTTCTATATCTTCTTTTCTGGCTGCATTGCTATAACTTTAAAACATTCAGTTTAAGATAAGCTTTCGAAATTTATTTCAAACAATAGGCGATGTAAGCGATATATTGCCTTTCATTTTATTGCAATATAATTCGTGCAAAAATTACTAGTTTCAAGCCAAAATACGTCAAACTATTAAGTATTTATATAAAGTTTATTGCTAATATGATATACTTGTCTTCTTCTGACTCACCTATACACTGCATTCGTCAACTTATAAAGCCAGATTGTGCTTGGTTTCGATATTTTTTTTCTTTAATACAGTTTTTCAGAATATTGGCTTTCATTTTATAAAGAAACAATCGCTCTATCGTGTTTTTTATTGATATGCGAATACATATGAATGCATATACAGATACATTTTGAAAGTCAGAAAACAATAAGTAAAATTTTTATCGTAAGGGGACGAGAAACAGAAAAAATGGAATAAATAATTTATATTTATTGACGAGCCCGATTAATATTTAAAATGTTATTCTTTTAGCAAAAGTAATTTTAAAGAGTCTAAAACAAAAATGACAAACAAGCATCTTTAGTGTAAAAATTTATTATTGCAGATTAAATTTATTTATTATTACATTATATATTACTTGTATATTATCTATTTGTTATGAGTAAAAGTAGAATAATTATTTAAGGCTTTTAAATTCAATTTTATATTTAAAAAGCTTGCCCGATGAAATCATTAAGAAAATATAATTTTGAGAATAGATTGAATAATGACATTTTGTCAAAAATATATTTATATAATTTTATGCTTAAAAACTGCGAAACAAATATTTTCTTACGTATATGTTTTTTAAATGTGTCCATCAGGAGGTTTGAAGATAGATTTTAATATTTTGGCTTTCCAAAAAATCATGACATTTTGAAGAGAAAAATTAGTTTCAGAAATACTAAAAGAGATTATAATATCATACTTTTAAAGAACCAAAATCTCAAAATCTGCCTTCATAAAGTTTTAACAAATATAATTAATTTATAATAATTAATTAAATTTAAACAACTTTTGTAGTTTGTGCTTTAGATCACAACTTTGAGAGTTATGCTACACACAACTCCTAAATGTAAAAGTTTTTGGCGATAAATATTTTACATAAAAAATACTTAAAAAATTGAAAATTTCTCTTTATTTTATAGTTTTTCGAATGTAAAATTATATAAATAAATTTATTTTTAACGCTAAAATGTTGTATTTTTAATCCATTCTCAATATTATATTCTTTTACTAAAACTGATATAGACAAATAAATTTTATACATCAGATTTCAGATATTATGAATTAAGCCATTTTTCATTTTTATAACATTGATTTATAATTATTGAAATGTGATTTTATGTACAAAAGCAGAATAACAATCAAATTCATTGATAACTTTATTTATTATTACTTAAAAGTGCAGCAAAAGTAAAACAATATAGAGGTATAAAAACACGAAATCAAAATTAAAAATTTCTTATTTAATTTTATATTATTATTAATTTATATATTATGCTTAATTTAAAAAGTTAAGTTGTATTAAGTAAAATAAAATTCCATTTCTCGTTTATAACATATATTATAAATTTTGTAATAATATTTACATATTCGTACGATAAGTTAATTTTATTATATAACACAGTATTCCTAATTTATTAATTAGAAATGCCTAATTATTTTTATATCTTTTATTAATACTTATCTGATTTAATTGCAGATCATATTTTTACCGCTTCACTATTATTTATTTTTTCACGTATAAATGTCTCTCGAAAAATCTATACGTGCAATTGACACATCGAATATTTCGTATCGTGAGGTGTAGAGGAAAATTTGCACATAAAAGTAATCAAACTTATTTAACCAAATTCATCATAGACCAATTTATAAGCAAATGGTTAGATCTACTAAGATAAATTTTAGAACAATGGAGAATTCATATAAATGTTTTGAACGTATTTATTTATATTAATGAGTAAATTAATATTATTAATGTTATTAGTGTTTAATGTTCCACGGACCAAGACGTATAGTAGTAATATGATACTACTATGTCGTCGTATTATCAGTGGCACTCTTTCAGAAAACAACACACGCAATTTGCATTATTTATATCTGTATACGAGTGCGAAAAGTTTCATTCTGATGTCGTGCGCGCGCGTTATAAGCAAAACTTTAGCATATGTAGTCGCGAAATATTAAGTATAAAAGAGACTCTTATTATTATGCAAAACATTTATTACTTTCTGCAATGGCCTGATAGATAAGGGGGGATGAATTACTGAAAATTTGATTTAAATTCTACATTATTTAAGATTAGAAATAACATTTCTCTTTACCATTGTTAATTCTTTAATTTCTTTCGTGCTTTTCTTCTTGTCTTGTAATTCCCACGGGTACAGTAAACTTCATTAACACCGTCGGGCGATAAAAAAGTAAATGCGAAAAATTTATAAAATAGTCCAGTAAATTTTTTCAACGTATATTACAAGCACATAACGTGCTACAAAATTTACTTATATCAAAGAAATAAATGCATTTCTTTTTGTTAACACAAATGGGCACGTAAATTGAATGATTTGCCAATGCAAAGTTATGTTATTTATTTATTTAGATAATAACTTCACTGTTCTAATATATGGATCAACGTGATGCGATTAAAAAATGCACAAGTGAAAGTGAGAAGAAAAGTATTAAAAAGTAGGACAGGTGAAAGATAGATAGAGATGAAAAAGAGAGAAGAAAATAGGGAGAAGGAAATTATACATAAACAGATTTAAGCGTCAAATTATTGAATAGAATTATTCGAAATTATTCTTTTAAGAAATCCTGAAAGAACACATGCGAATGTGTAGCATTATGAATAGAGAAAAGTCCCATAATGTGAGATGGAGGAGTTTCTGCTAAATTAGCATCATCTGTTGGTTCCACCACAAAATTGGAAATGTGTTTAGTGGAAAATTGGAGTAAAATGTGTTTAATGGAAAATTGACTGTTAGATTGTGTAATCGCCATTGCGAAAAGTAATAATGCTTATTGCATATTTACTTATATACATATAGAAGATACGTAACTTATGTATAAATATACTTTATTCCATTCTATTCAGCCAACGAATCGCGGAGAATTGATAAAAATTTGTCCTTCGAAATTACTATCTAAAATTAATTGATTTTGAGGTATTTTGAAACTCGTCTCTATAACGTTTAAAAAAAAAGGGATATAATTTCATAGCTTTTCAGTAAATTTTCTATCAAGTTTCAACAGCAATAGAATTTTACGATATACCTATATTTAATACTTCTTAAGAAACTTTTAAAACTTCTTATTTACATGTACATAAGTTGATAAACATATACCGGTAAAAAATTTTATATATAATTATATAGATTTATATACAAAATTTTTTACCGCGACACATAGTATTATTAGATAAAAAATAACAAAATTGCCGCAATTTGCTCGCGATGGTAATAATGTAGGCAAGCATATTTACATGGAGCGAGCATTGTAACGTCTCTTATCCTACATTCAAAAGAGTTTACATAAGTAGAAAAACTATATATATAATATAATAATTATTCAAATTGTTGAAAATACCTGATTATTTATTAGCTATTCTTCATTCATTTACTTATAAGAACATTCAGAGACAACCTCATGTCTCTGCAAAACATTCTATTCATTTACAATAATTCCTCTTACAATTCTTTATATAGCATATATATTATGTAATTCTTATACCTATAACCCTTACGATTAATGTTTTTATCGTTCTGCTCAGTCTTACTATTACGTATGATACAAAATAACAGTTTAGACGAAACTGTCGTACTTAAGATTGTCCTCTCATTAATTAGCGCTGTGTAACGCGTACGTGCGTGTATGCGTGCGTGGGTCCGCGCGCGCGCGCGCACACACTGTATAATACATTATATACGTCCGCATCTTTCGTCGTATGAAAGAACCATGCGTTTTGCTTTAGTGACGTACGCGTTTTAAGATGAGATAAAGCTGTGATGTTATTAATATCGGCGCGGTATGACTCGCACGAACGCGCGACTATTTTTGCAATATTTAAGATTAAAGGAGGATAAAATAAAAAAAGGGACGTAAATAAATAAAATACTGGTTAACTGAGCTCTCCCCCCTCCCCCCCCCCCAAGTCGCAAACAGGCTTTGCAAAACAGATAATGTATATGACAAGTATTGAAAATGTATTAACGCATATTATATACATGCATCGCATCGAGAAGTGTACACGTATAAGTATTACTCGCGCGGATACAACACCTCACGTATGATTAATTATATTAATTGTATGCGGCGTATAACCCATTTGTGATACTCGGCATACGAACGGCATACGAAGCAAGTGATACCGTAACGGCATAATTGAGTCACACGAATGCATTCATTAAGTAAGCAGATTTTTAATTGTAAATGGAGTTTATTGAATCGTTACATTGTACCGAGGATTAATTATCTGATTCATCAGCTGTTTGTAACATATTGTGATTAAATATTAAATTGTCAAGTAAAGAAAAACGGCAAGGGGCCGCGCCTTTACTTTACCACCGAGTCGTCGTTCCTGTGTGGCATCGGCACGATTTCCGACGTTGCACACGAGACAAGCGTAATTTTACCGTAACGATATAGTACCGTTGACATCATTGGCTTATTTTCATAACAAGCCTTTTTAAAAAACAAAATATTGAACTTAACCGTTTAAGTTAAAAAAAGGGAGAAATTTGGATAAAACCTAGAGACGCTTTTATGTACACACATACACACATATAAAGCACATATCCATAGCTTCCTAAATATCATTTATCTGCATGCCATCTTTCTGTACACTTGTGTCGCCGCGTACGCGCGTACATTTATACACGTATAAAATTAGAAAATTATCTCATCAACGCGCGCTTATCCCATTCATTCGTATTTCACTCTACGCAGCGCAATATAGGACATCTTGGTGGACAAGTCGTGCCAGCCCACCGGGCCTCTCTCGCAATCGGCGCATGCCAGGTACTTGAAGTTGCCCACCGTGTGGGACACGCCGATATTCTCGAAGGTGAACATATCTTCCACTAGCCAGTAGTCGGAAATGATCTCCGACTGACTGTCCCTGTCCTGTGCTTGGCTGTGGATGTAGGGTAGCGCAAACTGCAATCCCAAAATTTTTGCGTTCACTCGCTCGCTCGTGACGACGATCAATTGTCGGCTCGCGCGGCAATTGTCACGGGGTATTTAAACGCTCGATGCGCAAATTTTAAGCCGAGGGCACCGCTTACGAGGCACCGAGCGCGCGGAGTATAATTTTTAGGTTATAAACATTGGACGCACGGAGGATAGAAACGCGGTGAAAATATCGAAAGTGCGTATCTCGATAACGCAGCGGCACTCGTGGCAATTGAATTGCGAAAATTAATAATCACGCGAGGAGTCACGCGTGAGGTTGCTTCAATATTAATGTATACAGTACACAAAGTACCGATACTCACGTCCATGCTTATTAACCTGGCAGCTCCGGCATTGAGCATTTTCGACGGGCAAAATGTGCAGTAGATCTTGTGCTTATTTTTGCCCTCCGTATCCTTTTTCGATTCAACATCTCCGTCCGACGACATCGTCACTCCATGGAAATGAAATAAATTCCGGTACCCGGTTGAGATTAGCTGACTAATCGCCTCTCTCTCTGAAATCCTCCCCTCCGCGAGATAAATCGAATCGACGTGAATCGAGTCGGATTGAAATCGACACCGAAATCGAAATGGTGCTCTGATCGATAGCAATTCGAAATGCGAGCGACGTCTCGGATTCCGCGAAAATTACGTCTTTTCAAAGCGGATAACAGTTTTTAACGTACTTCATGGACGTGAAAATATATTTCGCTTCGAGCGAATCTCTTCATATCCGACCAGTACGGGAATTCTGTAACTTGTAATCGATGCTTTTCAGTATCGTTAACTAGCGACAGCCAATGGCGAGGACGATCTTCGAAAAAGACGCAGATTTTCATTGGTTGTTCCTAGTTAACTTTATCGAGAAACCTCGATAGCAAGTTACAGAATTCCCGTACAGATCGATGCACGCCGCCTAATTATTGTTACAATCGTGTTGACGAAGTTTCCATGTATAGTACATAAATAATAGTACACCGCGTACGGCGTCACCTTGTTTCGCCGAGCGTTGGATTCCAAGAAATGACGTAGCGCAGTAGAGCCCGAGCGTTGTAAACAACTCGGTCGAAGGCCGCGCACGGGTTCCAAGAAATGACGTAGCGCCGTGGAATTCGTGGAAAAACTATCGGCCGAAAAACAATTTCTATCATTCGGCGCGAGTCAGTCGAGCGAGGCGGGTGTTCCGCGTGTCGTCGCGTCGCTCCTCGTAACGCGATCGTTTCCTACGGGGATCTCGATCATCCGCTTACGTACGCGATCGTCTCGTTCGTGAGCCATTAACACCCGCCGAGAAATAATCTCTCTAATATTTACACGTACGAAACGTACGCGTATAAAGTGAAGTTTTTCATTCTCGTCGCGTTCGGGAGTGCCGTTTAAGGTCCAGTTTCACAAACATCGGTTAACTGTTAACCAGAGTTCAGTCGACTTCCTATCTTTCTCTATTTTGTTATCCGAGAAGAGATGGAGGATCAATTAACCATGGGTTAGCAGTTAAACGACGTTTGTGAAACTGGCCCTAAGTGACCGAATCAAAGACTTTTCGAAGTCCATTTGAGGAACAAGTATTCGTTAATTAAATGTCCGTTCCCGTCGATGGCCACGCTTCAGAGGTCCGGCAGTTTTTGAGGCTCGCAGTGGATACCGCGTGTCTCAACTTACTCGTCGCCTCGAAGTGGAGGCGAACTTGACGGAACAGAATACCCTCGCGCGGACTTAATAAACGGGAGTGTAAAATCGCGCGAACGATCTTTTGTGTTTTCGCGAGTGTGCCAGAGGACAATCCGAGTGGAGGAGGAGGCCGAGGAGAGGCATCGGGCACCGGCGGAGCAACTTTACGGTAAATATTTTTTATTTAGTGTAAAACTAATCTTTCTTCCGGTTTAGTTTTGAGTCGTTTCATTTCACAATTCTATAATTTCGAAGTAATTCGAGAACAAGAAGTAATTAGAAATTTTATAAAAGTTTATTCCGCTGAAGACCTTTCGTGGAAAATCTTTTACGAATTTATAATCATTTAAATATCCAATCAAGTAAAACGTTCAGTGCGCACAAGAGTTACTTTTATTTTGCAATATTAGTTTTCGTAAACATTGCTTTAATGAATTGTATATTTTTATGTTACAGGATCGACATTAGTTAACTCCGCTGCTGCGCATCGGGTGGTAAGTGAGTAACTTTTTTTATTAAGGTAACGAATCGACAACTCGTAGATCGTAGATTGTAGATAGTTTATCGTAGATTAGTACATCTCGTTGATTCGTTGCCTAAAATGGATAGAGTACAACGTAGTTTCATATTTTTTATGTTTATATATTTCATCTGTCGAAAGGAAGTGATCGCGATGTTCACTGTGGAGGGTTGGATGCCCATTCACGCAAAATATGACGAATATTATTGATGTATTCGTCGAGCTAGACTCTTGTACCCTATCCATTTTTCATTAACAAAATTATATACAAAGTAAAACAATATGACGTGAGAGTCTAATATTTTGCCGAGAACGCTGAAACTTTATATTATTTATTCCTCTGAAGATCTTTCGTGGAAAATCTTTTACGAATTTACAATCATTTAAATATCCAATCAAGTAAAACGTTCAGTGCGCATAAGAGTTACTTATATTATTTAATTATAACTAATATTATTTATATTATTTTCACACATTATTTGAGATTCTTGATTAACTAGAATATACAATTGTCGGTCTATCTATCGTACAGAAAATTTCTTTTCTCTAGCTCTCACGTCATTTGTTCTGTATGTGTACACACAGAAAAATATTATTGTACAGGGAAGAAAAGTAATTACTCAGTTTATTTTATTCCGTTCAAGTAATAGTTTGCTTCAACAAAGAATATTTTCTTAATAATAGTTTTAAGATATACTTGTTACTCGTCTTAGAAAAGCTTGCCATCTTATACTCAAAGAATTTATTGTTCTTTGAAGAAAATTATAAAACTTATTGAAGAATTCCGTATGCTTCTTTTAATAAAATCCGAAGAAACAAAATTGTTTTGCTTCAAATAATTCTATGTATTCTTGTTTGAAGTACTAGACTTACTAAGAACCAGAATATGTTTTGAGTAAATGTAACACTTGCGACGACATTATGATAGATTTGCGGATATATAAACTTATCAAATACTTGGAACAAATAATATTTACTGCAAGTAGTATATATTTTTCTGTGTGTATGTATGTGTATACACTTTCAAGATGCGTCTCGCATGAATACATGCACAGTTATACGCATCTTCATATTTTCGCGGTCGGTCTTCGCGATCAGCTTTTTAGAAAATTTTCAAGAAGTTATTAATTGTTTAATTTCAAATAAAATCAATATAACGGGAAGTAAATTGTTTTTTTATACATATATACTTGAATTTCGAATTTGGAGATTAAGTCACGAAGAAACAGTCATTATCTGTTCTTGAATAACTAACGGAGGTAAAAATATATTTGAGTTTTACGCAGCAAATTTTTTAAATTAAATTTCTTCCTTAATTAACTTCTCGTGATCGTGCATTTCGATATAATCGACGCTCGCATACAGTTCGAACCGTACGAAATATTTGTCGGTGACGATAATCCGACTATGGAAGGAATTTTCTTCCTTCCTGATCTCTGGTCAAAATGACCAGACTGTAAGGCCAGGAGCAACGAAAGGTATGTCCAATCTGGCCCAACGAAGGGATACGCCGAGTTAGTGGTCAATATTGGCCACTTTGACGTATTATGTGAATGTGTTGTACGATATATGTTGATTTCTTCTTATTCGTCAAAATTCGGGTGGGTTATATTCTTATCTTGTTTACATATTCTCGCATATGTGCGAGATTAAAAAGACTTCTATTAAATCCCTATTAAATCGCGTCGCGGTTTTAACGGAAGACTTGCAGGTAGGGAATCGGGTAGGCAGGGACAGGGGGAGATAATTCCATAATTAAAAAGGTAGATAAGATTATAACAGCAATGCATTACTATTAAATATAATTATATTTGCCATTATTTTTAATAAAAAGCTCTCAGTTAATATATTTTTAATAAAATGTGTTAAATTACACAAAAATAATTGGAAAGATTCTTCTAGAAGATAGTTCAAGCACAATATTATTTTAAGAATTATATAGTCAATATATCAAATGTGTTGTGCGTTATAGATAGAATGTATCTCGCATATACATATGAAATTGTCATTATTAGAGAGGCTATTAGAGAGATAAATTAGTATCTCAATTAATTACTCAAGAAAAAAATTATGAAATAAATTTTTCCTTTTAATAATGAAAATGGAAAAAGATGATTTGATTAGAAAATGTGTTAGCTAACAAACTTCTTTTAAATGTACTTGTTATATGACTATATTATTAATCTAAATTTGCTACGTTTTAGATTAAATACATGTATCTGCACGTGGGTGTACGTGCACACGCGCATGTAAATGTATCTTTAGAATTCGAGGGAGGACAGTGAGTATAAATTGGAAATTATACAAAAATATTTTTAATAAATTTTACAGAGTGTTCTACGTACATATTATTTTGAATTCATTATTTAAAACACACATATTTTATTATTTATTACTGTACGCAGTAATACAATTGTTGGAACACGCAAGTTTCTTCTGCTTTACTAATTTCCAATTATATTTTGCAAATTTTTCATCGAATGGTAACGGATCTGTTGTACAATTATTCCCTAGCGCGGGCCCAATGACGAAAATTAAATTACCTTTGTAGTTCTCCATATAATTACAGAATGCTGCACAGTTATTAAAGTAGCAAAATAGCATCGCATATCGTTTTGGCACTTGAAAATTTGAATTGTTCTCAACGAAGATGATATTTTTCAAGAATTGCGGAGGAGAATATTTGCTATTCCACCAAGAACTATCCAATTCTACACCCACAACGTCCAATCCTTAAAAAAGAAGTTGTAATCTTTATTACTCCTTATTCCTTAGCAATTACAAGTATTATCGAAGTGACTCAAGTCTATGTCAATATTATTGTAAAGATTTACCTGAACATTTTTGTAGCAACCATTCTAATAATCCACAACCACAGCCAATGCTCGCAATTCCAGATAAATTGTACTTTCGTATAATATCATTCATCCAATGTAGGTCATTCACGTCAGGTAACACCCATGACAATCTACTAGGCTTCGGATTGTCACTCGTGAAAGATAAAGCAGCAATCTCTTCCCATTTTTGAGCATTATATAATGAAAGAATATTTCCGTCGAGATCGTCGCCGTTCATTACTTGTAGCTTTCTTTATGTGTACGTATTAATAATATCAGTAACTCACTAAGACTTAAAAGACAAAACAGCCATCACTTTTGCAGCACGTCACAAAAAGTAAAATACTGCTAGCCAACAGATTTATGAATGAGAGAGGAAGGATTCATCCGTGAACTTGAGTTGTGTAATTTTTCCAATAATAGATTGACTCATTGCCATACAGTCGAACATATATTTCTAAGGATATTCGTTCACTAGACGCTATTTTACTGCGACACGATATATCGCCCAAAATAGAAACGAAAATGAAATTATTAGAAATTGCATTTACATTTCAATTTTTTTTATTGCAATATTACAATGAAAATATATCTGCGCGAGGTAGAGAGTAAACGACGAGCAAATTGTAAAGTCACAGTTCATAAAAAAAGCACGCATATCTCATTCTTTGTACAAAAAGAAATAAACTAATTGATATAATAAATTAAATTAATAATAAAGAGTGAGCATTTATCCAAATTTTGCACGTCCTCAATCAATATCAACTTCTTGTAATGCATAATGCATCTCATCCTTTGATGTATTCAGCAGAATCTTTTGATGTATATCGCTACCTGAATATTCGCATATCAACAATCTGTAGTCACCCAACTTTGCGCAAATATCAAGCACCTGAGTAACATTGGGAGTTTTGTAACCTAGAAACAGAAGTTACAATGATATAAAATGCCCTTTAAGCATATCACATTCTTCCATTAATAATACGTTTTTCTTTATATACAAACCATCGAAGGAACATAGAGATTCAAACTGTTTGTAAACATTTATAAAACAAACTTCTTCCACGCCAATTCGCTTGACTTCCACGCATACGGCTTGCAAGAATATTTGTTCGAATTTTGAACAATGTTTTATCGCTTGAACTTTTGGATTTATTATCATCTCTGACAAAGCCTCATTCACATCTTGTACGCTTACTGTAGTATTATTGCGCGCTTCCGTGATTTCTGCCACTCGGCGACAAATGTCCAGAGCACGGCGAGCATCGCCTGATACTGCAGATACCTTACTAAAAGACATAATACGTGTTCTTGAAACGGTTAATCAAATTTCATTAATTTCATTATAAAAATTAACAATTAAAAAGTACAGTCAATATAATTCATAGGATATGATAATAAAAATGCGCTAATGTTTGAAGAACATTTTGCAGTAATAAAGTTACACAAAACCAAGCATTAAAACTATATTAAAATTAAATATATACATAAAATAGATCAACAAGGTATTTAAGAATAAACTATTTAAATGAAGAAATCATATAATGCTTACCGTGCAATTAATTGTATAATTTCATTCTCAAAAATGTCTGTGTTTTTAAGTCTGGTTAACACTATCTCATACAATTGCTTATAATTGTATGGTTCGAAAGTTACGCGGGTAAGACCTAATCGCGATGTGACTCTACCCATTAAAACTCTTTCTGGAAGATCCATAGTATTGGCAATAGTAATAACTACTAATCGAGCAGAGGCTTTTGTAGGCCAATCCAATAGATTATATATTACGTCTTGTCGTTTTGTACATAATAAATCAAGCTACGAGTAAAGGAAAAGCAATAAAAAATGAGTGAGGCAAGAAATTAAAAATTACTTAACATAATATATCAAAGACAATAAAATAATGGAAGGTAAACATATACATGTAAAGAATAAAGATACGTATGTACGTAACGTACCTCGTCTACAAGTAGCAATGTCATTGACCTCTTAGCATTACTATTAAACCTCTTTTCTAACGTATTATATGCTTGTTCCCACGTTAAAACTTGCCCAGATAATTGCTTTAGAATCTGCACGTAGGCTTGCCTGGGCTCAGACAGCTTCATACCATTGATCTCAACAAAGTCGAAATAGTCCAGTTTACCCTTTTCCACGGATCTCTTTAGACATTTCATGATCTCATTTACAGTAGCGGTTTTTCCCGTACCTGGGACGCCGTTTATGTAGATGCTTCTGCAATAGAATCGATACGTAACAGCATGTCAGGGAAAGTAAATGCAAACACGTTAAGCAATGTCTAGACAAGCTTACCCTCCGCTATTATCCTTTAGCTTGCTCTCCAGGAATGTATAAATGTTGTTGAACTCTTCTTCTCTGCAAGGCAGCGACTTGGGCACTGCACTGACATGCAACCTAGTTCTGAGCTCTTGCAATGGCGTTGTTGGCTTAACCAGCATGTCAGTTCTCATTTTCATAGACGGTGTCAAAGCGCTGTGCCTCAATGGCCCACGACCCTTCGGTGTACTCAAGCCATTCGGCACCACTGGTGACTCGGCAGTGTCACCGTTTACTCGACCAGTTTTCACGGGCGAACTTTTGCCAGTTTTACGTGCAACTTCCACCTTGTTAGCTTTACTCTCATGTTTGCGTACCGATTCGCGTTTATTAGACATGGTTAAAATTGCCTTGCGACCGGTTTTCTGAGTTCTTGATCTTTTCGGGGTGTCGCTAAGTGAAACGTTTCGCGCTGCTTCTGTCTCAAGGTACTTTCCGCTACTTGGTGAACTGTCTATGTTATCCTCTTTTAATTCTTCGTCCACAGAGAGAGATGTACATTTTGATCTAGTTCTAACTTTCGGCGTAGCGTCGTCATCGTCTGTGGAATGAACTCGACTGCGTTTATCAAGTTTTGATCTAGTT